GAATCTCATGTTCTCAGCATGGGTTAAGGACTATCTGGGGTACCAAGAGGAAGATGCCATCAGCGGGGCTGCATTATGGACACAATTAAGCGATGGTCGCGCCCCCGGCGACGAAATCTGGGATGATTATTACATATCTGTCGCTGGTCTGGAAGGGTTGACGCCTCCTAGAGACGTCAATAACTCGTCTCACTCTAGGTCGCCGTCTTCCAGCCGCTCGCAGCCTTCTCGTACCCCCTCACAGGCCATGACATCAGCGGGCAGCCCCCCGCCTTCGCCTACGTCACGGAGAACGGCCGGAAGGCGAAGTGGGTTGGCCCCCACACTGCCTCCCATGACTTCACCTACGCCAAGTTCTTCGCCCAGCAAGGTGACTGGAGCCGGGACTATGCCTTCCCGTCTTCCCCGGTCCAGGAGACGGTCTCCGGAAGGACGCATCTCCCCAAGGCAGAATCGCAAACATCTACAAGGTACCCCAGACCGAACGACTTCGTCCGTCATCGATCTACAGACGGAATCCGAGCCGTTTGGACGAGACCAGGAGACAGCCGAAGAGCTCCCAAGGCTGACCATTCCTGATCTACCGAGTGGTGTCGATTATGTGCTGGACGAACCCGGATGGCAGACGGACAGCAGCCCTGACTATTCACCTACGGATGACGACGCTGCCATCGCACCAAACGAGTGATTGGAAGTTCCCAAGTGCTGAGGTAGGAACTATGAGTGTGACGCGACTGGAACTAGAATTATGGGTAGAATATGGCTGGGAATATAAAGGTGATGTGTCTGGAACTGGAATCCCGAGTGTGACACGGATGGAGCAGCTAGTACGATGTGACTGAAATCACGAACATTGCATGCTTGGTACTGGGAACAAATCGCGAGAATTGACTTTCAATTAGTAGACGGGGATTAACGGTGGCAATGGCAAACCGCCCAACCTCTGATGTCCCATGACTACGCCTTTCCAGGGAGTCAGTAGGGAAGGTGTACTGACTAAGCGGATCATAGAGCTGGAGATAAACCTTTTTACAAGGGCATTACTATTGATGTCGTCATTTTTCTACCAACTCTGAAGATTGTTCTGATAGGGCCATAAACAGATATGCTCTTTTCCTTAATGACTTCCTTTTTCATCAGTAATCAGTAGACGTCTGACCAATGATCAGAACCGTAAAAATTAGAAGAGTGGGTAAAAGAAGAACATGAGTGAGGGAGACCAGTAGCCGGCCCCTCCGAAAACGCGACTCACGCAGGGGCCCCACCTGCCGAGACAGACGGGACCCGTTGGGCAGTCTGACTTAAAAAAAAAAAAAAAGAAAAAAAAAAACTGACTGGGCGGGACCTGATATGGCCGCCCTTGTAACAATATGGGACAGTAGATGGGACCCAATTTGGGCAGTCTACTGATGAAAAGAAAATGGGGTGAAAAACGAGACGGAAAGACAGGGTTGTAGCTGCCACTGATGGACCAGTACAATCTTTGCTGGTCTGACTGGGGAGTATCGTAAACCTCAGTTTGAACCCGGTATTCTGGACTGGGTTCAATGAGTCGCTGTTCTGAGGCGACTTCTGCATTCATCTTCATCGTACATATCATCAGTTTGAGGTGATCATGGACTGAATCGGTGGTCCCTCGATTGAGGTGATGATCTGCATTGTCTGTACTGTGCCGTCTTGTATGTGTCATAGGCCGGGATACAAACATGCAAACAGATGTGATCCCTTTTTGGACAATCTGTTGGTAAAAGAAAAACATGGATTAGAATGCCGGGGCTAGGACACTCAACTGACGGATTTGGAAGCTGGACGGGTAGTCCTGTCTGACGTAGGATAGGCAGTCTTGTCACGTCAAAGGCTTCACCATGTGTCTTTGTCTGTAAACAAGGTCATATGTCTGTCTGACTGGAAGTGGATGAATACCCCAAGTCTCCGGGGATCGAAAAAGTGTAAAATTTTTTTTTGGGGGACTCACGCGAGGGCGCGTGAGGGTTCGTTGGGGCGCGACGCCACAGCTGTGGCGATTTTCTGAGTACCCCGCCGGAACCGCGTACCTTGATGATGGGTAACATTATAGTAACTGAATGATAGGAAAGTCTATGCACGTTGGGATGTTTTGCAGTTGTTTATGAAGGCTGTAAGTTGTGCCCTGCCCGTACGACGATGAGGTAACAATGTCGAGAATGCTCGCTGCCTTGTGAGGAAGTCCCATGACGGATAATGCTGTCAGCTACCCTTAAACCGGAAGACTAGATGGCAAACGACAACCCCATGAGCCTATGCTGGAGGAATGATGACGTGCTGCCTTGTAAAGCCGCTGCCGGATGCCAGGAGGGCGAGCTGGACCGCTGAGGAGACGACCGACCACCGGAGGACGTACCCACACCTTTGGATCTGGAGGTGGGAAGTCTGAGGAGTATTCCACACCACGAGCTGCGCCCCGGCGAGGGGAGTCGGACCAGATACCTCGGGTAATTGACGAGTTTAGTAGAGTTCTGGGCCGCCCAGGGCGACTTCAGTGACTTAGGCCGGGAAGGTTACCATGGGTAAGACAGCCAGTGACTTAGGCCGGGAAGGTTACCATGGGTAAGGCAGCCAGTGACTTAGGCCGGGAAGGTTACCATGGGTAAGGCAGCCAGTGACTTAGGCCGGGAAGGTTACCATGGGTAAGGCAACCGGTGACTTAGGCCGGGAAGGTTACCATGGGTAAGGCAGCCACGGGTTAGACACCCTGGGTAACGCACCCCGCGGCTTCGGGAGGGTAAGGATACCCTGGGTAACGCAGACCAGTACTTAGACAGGAGTAGCCAGTATGTTGAGACGCGGGTGGCACACCCTGGGTAAAAGGTACATTCGTACCGTGTATGAAACTGACGGGACCTTTCAAGGAACCTGGGTAACGGTGCCGCGCCGGCGGCTCGGGTATTTAAAGACACACGGCTTCACTTGTAACAACAACTGCGAACCTTGGGCCCACCTCGCTGTTGTGTGTGTGTATCTTTCGGGGATTGTACCCCGCTGAGTGGAGAACATGCCGCGCTGACAGACGCCCATTGTGGGTGCACTTCGCCGTCGAGTTTAGCTCGGACGGGCGAGCGTCTCAATTCGTGCGTGACCGGCTCATTGCTGGAAGATTCGCCATTGGGACGCCATTTCTGCGGTGGTTCGAGGCTCGACGCCACACGTGGCGCCGTGCGGTACATTGGACCCTCCTAACTCTGACCCGTCAAACTCACCGGAACCGGCGGGAGCTCGGTGTCTAATGGGCACGCTTGCAGCACGATCAAGCGGGGGCGGTAAAAACGGGCCCGGGCCCGCCACACTGCCCCGCCGGTCGCTGGCGAAGGATGACGGACTCGGAGGGGCCCCCGGCCCGGGGGCCTAGGCAGAATGGGTTATCGGAGACTCCTGCTGACCGCGGCCTTGTGCCTGGCCAGCTTCGTCGCCTGCCGCGCGAAGCCCACCGCCGTCATCTACGTGAATGTCTTCAGCATCGGCGACCTGAGCAAGATGGTCGACCCCAGCGCCGTCTACACGCACTACAACTTCGCGTTCTGGACGCAGCGGTTCGGCCCCGTGGACGCCGCCCGAACGTGGTCCACGAACAAGCTGGGAGACAGGCCTGAGGTGCGGGCGGCCAGGAATAGGGGGGTCAAGTTCATCATCTCCTGTGGGGGCGCCACGGAGAGCCCGCAGTTCTCCACTTCAGGGGCGACGTACGGCCGCGGCGTGGCGGAGTTCGCTCTGGCCAACGGCTTCGACGGCGTCGACTTCGACATCGAAGGTGGGGGGAGCGCGTGTGTGTGCACGATTCTCGCATATAACGGGTTCCGGGTCGCCGCAAGACACCGCACACGACGGCTGCACTGGGTCAATAGCAACGACCCTTTGGAGCGCGCTCCGCTGGGCACTGCGCTGCCGCGGCCGAATTTGGTCTGTCTTGGATGCGGCACTTGTTCGTTGAGGAAGCGGGTGGATAGCAGCAGTCGGTAACACCCGATCCGTGCTGGGCCAGTGACGAAGGTGTGCTTGAACATACCACACGTAATGCGGCCAAATCTAGAGTTTCAGGCCATTGTTGCGCGCTTTCGTGGCGGAAGGGCGCGTTTCAAGGGCCGCTGAACCGACTCTGGGTGCCTTTGTCGCGGCACCAGCACTTGCACAGCCCTCCGTCGCGTGCGGATTGCAGGGGCGCTACCGGGCATGCTCACGGGACCGTGCCACGGGGCTTCCACGCTTTGCATTTCTCGTCATTCGATGATTGTTGCACAGTCAAACTATCACGAATGTTCGCGAACGGCACTGGTGTGCATGCGTTCACCAGTGGGCGGCTCAGGACGTGTGAGGGCTGCGGCGCAAAGCGCACCGGTCGCGGTGCCTTCGATCGGAAGATTGGGAAACTGTGGTGCACTGGCCGTCACGGTTGTGCTGTCAATGGGGAGGGGTGGAATCTTTGGCGCCCCCGGTGTTGGATGGAGGCCAGTGGGAGCCGCGGTGGGCAGCGGGGGGCGTCGTGAGTGCGACGCCGCGTCGGCAGACCACCGCGAATCTGTGAATGGGCACTGGTGCAGTCGGCGCCACAAAAGCGGGGGGGTGGGGGGGGGTGGGGGGGGTAACACAGGTTGGCGACCGGGGCCACTTGGAGAGGGGGCTGGGGCACAGGGCGGGGCTTCGCCGGGACGGCAGTCGTCACATGTCAACGATACCGCTCCATTGGAACCGGATTGGTGGCGATCACGTTTGGCAACTCGCAGAGAAAAGAGGGGGAACGAATGACAGCCCTATCAAACGCGCTTTCCGCAAGGCTACTGTGTAGAATTGTGTCGATCTTCTTGACGTTCGACGAAATGGTTTTTTTGTCGCTCTGGAACACCCAAGAGCGGGTCGGTGCGGCCAAGCGGAGCACAGAGGGGGTGGGCCACAAGTTTTTGGGAGGTTGTGGCGCGCAGCTCCACAGTACTCAGTGCGCAGTGCAGTGGCGGAGGGCGAGTGGGGTTGGGATGGGATGGCGCCTGCTCAAGAAAGACAGCCAAAAAAGGTGCAGCAGCAAGAGCGAGTTGTGTTTCCCCAGCAGGGTGTAGACATACACCGTACTACCACACTATGGAAGTTTCCAAAAATTACAGTACTACCAGAAGCAACGACAGATGCGCAAGGCCTTGCCCGCTGCCTTCACACTCCATTCACCATGCTGGGTTAATAGCTACCTCACGAGCGCTACAGCATTACTAGCGGGGGACATCCATATGCTACTCAGCATAGTGTGCATACTACAGGGCTTAGGTATAGCACACAATGGCATACATATCATGCAAGCCAGGCTACGTACTTAAAGTTGCATACCTCAAATGCGTACAAATTTCCGCACAGAACGGTGGCCCATAATAACCCAGCTAATATCGGCAAGAATGTCCATGGGGCATTATCTCAATCAAGAGATATTTCTGAGATCTCACAAGTAGTTGTCTCTGGATAAGAGTTTTTCCAAAGAAACTGTTGCTCCACTACAGGGTGGGCATCACGGAACAGAACCGTGTGGAACAACCTTTATGCACTGCATGCTGCAACATAAAGTACTGTCGCACATTGCACCACTGGCTGGCCATGCATCAAAGAGAAAAATTAGTGTTTAAGAACGTCCGATACATTTTATGGGCCCAGCTTGAATGTTTCAATATACCAACAAGCCATGGATGGACATGACAATCAATGCCTTGATGTTGCCTTTGGTTATCAGCAATTCCATCTGCACAAAATCATTTGAACACCCTTTATGCATGCTGTAATAATTTCCAGGACACTTCTTGCACCGCGGCCTTGATGACGCCATTTTGAAATTGTACACATGTGCTGCAATGAGTTTGTTGCTTCGCCAAAATTAGGATTTGTGATGACTGTTGATGAACTATGTTCCACTGGCAACCGATCGCTCAATGACAGCTGGTGATGGTGTCTGTAGCCTTTGGCGGAGGCAGTGATGACGGGACAGGAACCAGTTGGGTGATTGAAGCCACCATGGAAGCCAAGCGTGTGTTCCCAGGGGCGATTATCACACATGCACCTCAGGCGCCGTACTTCACTCCTCAATTCACCGCCAATTACGTAGAAGTTGAAAAGCAGGTGGGAGTTACAGCCTCATTTTGCATTCTTAGACGCGCACCTCACACATATGCTGATAACGCATCACGCACCATCAAAGGAATCTTATTTGGTGATACTCGTCTGCAAGACACAATCAGCATGAGTGTGTGCACCAATTCGTTAGGCTTTCCTCCTCTAGAATTCCGCCTTCATTCCTGACAAATTAAGCACTGGCAAGTGGCAAAGTTGAATATTTTTCGGCATTTATTTTTTCGGTTTACTAATGAAAACTCATTGTGCTGAATATTTGTGACCATATTCTCAACACCTTCATTCTTTGCATTTTCTGTGGGCAGAAGCAGAACTATTTCGTTAACATGCGTTAACTTTAACGCACTATCATCATCTTGGAACGATAATGTACATGGCCAACTTATTTCGTGTTGTGTATATGTTTGCATGAAAATTGCGAGAACTCGTGAATTGTAGCGTTCAATAGCTATAAAAATTCTGCTCTGTCTCGCTGTCTCACTTGGCAAGTGCAACGGGCCAATTTTGATTCTCACTACTGGAACCAGGCTTGGCCTTTACGGCATAAACACGTTTGTATTTACGTCCATTTACGAGCAAAAATATTTTAACATTTTTGCACGTAAATAGGCGTAGCAATGCGCACAAATGGCCCTACGTACCTAAAGACAGTACACACCGGCTCAAGGAGTACGGGGGGTGGTAGCTAGACCATTTGAAATGTGCAGAAAACTGTCTTGGTCAACGACATCGTTGCCATGCCGAGGGTGAGGCGGACGCTGTGTTGCCGGTGCTCCAGGGTTTGGAGAACTCATTGTTTGAGATATCAATATGTAATCTGGGCGTGCTGGGGAGCCTTAAATATGCGTGAATAAGGCGGTAAAATGGCCGTTTCCTTACTCACGCCATTTTACGTGTCAAAACGTAAGTGTAAAATGGAGCCGCAAACGTAAAGACCAAGCGTGACAGGAACTAGTAGTAGCTAATTGCTTTAATAGCAAGGTTCAGGTTGTGGCACAGGTTGGCACCATGATCGACTTTTACAACATTCAATTCTACAACCAAGCAAGCACCTCGTATGACAGCTACGCCGCATTGTTTGAGCGTTCCGGTGGCTGGTCGGCGGGCTCATCTGTCATGGAGATTTCCGACAAGGGCGTTCCCTTGTCCAAGATCGTTGTTGGGAAGCCGGTGACGAGGGCGGGCGTCGTGAACAGTGGCTTCGTGGAGATGAGCCATCTGGCCACTTTCTACAGAGAAGCGGCCTCCAAGGGGACTGTTCCAAGGGGCTTCATGGGCTGGCAGTGGAGTCTTGATGCGCGAGAGCTGGGCGGGAGATGGGCACAGACGTTGGGAGCAGCCTGGAGTGGAGTGCCCAATGTTCCAAAGAGCTCGCCCAGCCCCAGCCAAGTGGCTACCCCGACTGCTCCCTCCACAGAGAGTGATACCTGCACCGAAGTATACACAGTGGTCGAGGGAGACTCGCTCTGGGCAGTCGGTCAGCAGTATGGCGTTGAATGGCAGGCAATTTTTGAGGCCAACAAAGATACGCTGCCGGACGGCAATGCCATTCACGTCGGCCAGCAGTTGCGCATTCCCGTGCCATGCGATGCAGGCACTGGCCAAGGACCCACCGTGCCCACGTCTACCGACCCAGTGGCTCCCAAAGTCCCAGATACTGCCAGTCCGGCGGCACCTTCCACAGAAAGCTGGGCTTGCTTCCATGACTACACAGTGGTCGAGGGAGACTCGCTGTGGTCGATTGGCCAACAATTTGGCGTCGAATGGCCGGAAATCTTTGACTCCAACACTGACACCCTGGAGGAACCAAGTGCCATATACGTCGGCCAACATTTGCGTATTCCAACGCCATGTGGTACAGGCGCCGGCCAAGAACGCTCTGTCTCAGGTCCGGTCGGCCCGGCGACACCCTCTTCAGGAAGCCAATCAAGCTTCTAAGACTACACAGTGGTCGACGGAGACTCGCTGTGGGCGATTAGGCATCAATTTGGCGTCGAGTGGCCAGAAATCTTTGATGTCAACGCAGATACATTGTCGGATCCGAGTGCCATATACGTCGGCCAGCAGTTTCGCATTCCAATGCCATGCCATACAGGCGCTGGCCAAGGACCCACTGTGCCTCCGGCTATCAACTCAGAGGCTCTCACTGTCCCAAATCCTGTCATCCCGACGCCTACTTCCACAGGAAGTGGGGCTTGCACGCAAGGCTACACAGTCGTCGAGGGAGACTCGCTGTGGTCGATCGGACAACAGTTTGGTGTCGAATGGCCAGCAATCTTTGGCGCCAACATGGGTATGCTGTTGGAACCCAGTGCCATATATGTCGGCCAGCAGTTGCGCAATCCGGCGCCATGCAATGGGGGTCCTGGACCTGTCCAAGAACCACTTCCCATTTACCAGCCTCCGCCCACTTACCAGCCTCCTGCCACCTACGATCTTCCAACCACACCTAGTACTCCTACCGTTTCTGGTCCTGCCCCGGCTGGCGGGGGCTCTCCAGTTGGTGGGGGCGCCCCGGTATACATTGGCTCCCATTTGGTGCAGCCTGGGCAATCCGTGTACATGCTGGGAGACATTTACGGCATCGACTGGCAGGACATCCTAGACGCGAACAAAGAGAGGGTTACGCCGCCCAGCCACATGGTTGTGCGCCACACTCTCAGGATCACTTGCGAGAAGGCGAATAAACTCGTGTCGGCCGACTGCCCGTCCTTGCACGTCGTACATCCTGGAGAATCTGTCTATGTGCTCGGAAAGATGTACAATATGCCGTGGCAAAAGATCTTCGAAAGGACTAGGAGCAAAGTGACGGATCCAAGCCAGGTCGTTATTGGCCACACGCTGGAGATTCTTTGGTAAAGGCGTGGTGTTGGTGGGAGCCGCTGTCTGGGTGATGTGCTTTATCCCATGGCAAGGGAATGGCGTAATCGTCGATGGCTGATGGGAGCCAAATTGGCAAGGGCTCCGAACTATTTGGTGTGAGGTGAGAACGTGGCATCCAGCAGAGGACGGCCAGTTTGCGCATCCCACACAGCTTTCTATGGAATCGCAGAATTGCGGAAGACTTCTTTTTCGTGTGGCTCAATCGGAGATGGGAAATTTGGTTGCCAACTAGATAAAGCAAGAACTCGGACGGCGTAAGGGCGCTGATGAGGAACGCGCCGTATACGGCAATATACTACGTAATATTGGCAGTGATTGCCGTTGGACGTGCTGACAGCTGTTAACGATTTGAATCCGTAGGTGGAAATAAGTGCCTGGTGGCAGCCGCCTTGTGAAATTGAGCGGGAAACACTCGGAAGCACGAGCATTGCACTATGCCGCCAATGGTTTAGAAGAACCGAGTTTGTGGTCGTATAATGAGATTTGGGGTTGCACAGAATTTGTGCAACAATCTGATGGTATGAAGTGGCACTTGAGGTACTTGAGGGACAACAGATGTTTTTGATGTTATGGAGCGGTCACATGAATTCAGCCCCTATTTATAGAATATATTTCATTTGCAGTTGAACAAAAAACTTGATGTGCGTCGTGTGGACATGCAAATGCCATTGCTTCTTCATCTACTGGGACAACTGCAGCCCCCCATTTGCCCACAATTTCTCCATCCGATAGACCTGCGAATAGCCCATTAACCTGAGTGGAGCCTGCAACATGTTGAGTTACACGATCTCCAAAGGGAATAACGTTGTGAATTTTCAGCCGGCTGCTGCAGATTGCACTCCCAAATCAGGTAGCTGCACCATGGCGTTTTCTAGGATTTTGGCATAATGTGCCTATATGTGGCCCATGCCGCACTAATTTTTAATTCAGATAATACTTCAAGTAACGCCAACTTTCTATGGGCGTCCTTTGAATTGTGCTCCAAAGCCTCAATGTTGAATCTGATTATTAAGAGATCGGTCGTTCTCATGGACAGCGTACAGTGGGACCATCAAAAATCTTATAGGCATCCGCTCTACTTGGAGTCGTCTGCCAGGTGTGTTACGGTCCAGGCCATGAGGCCTAGTGGCGATAGCCAAGTATGGCAAAAAAGTGTCCCGACCCAGTAAGGACAAGGGTGTAACAAGGTGATTGACATCTAGATATCAATCATTTCATCAGATGCTTGCCAATTTCCGATTCAAAGGACTCCACCCAAATCTACTGCATCATCATCATCATCATTTTTTACAGAACAAGGCAATGAGGTAGCCGCCAGCTTCCTATTTTGCCTGAGCATAGCAGAGTCGGTGATTGGACAAGGATTGAATGAGTCAGTGATTGGATTGTGACCTACTTCACAAGGCGCCTCTTGTTAAATTATTGAGTAATCGCACTCCAATTTATTTTGCAAGAAGAGATTACAGGGTAGATGCCGATACGTTTGCATGCATACGCATGCACATATCAAGAATACACAAAACCAACATGATGTGTTAGTCCCAAACCACCATGTATCCATTTTCCATTGCCTTGGCCAAAACCACGTTCCACGAAATCATCCCATCAGCATCCCAAGCGCCCTTTGTAGGCATCTATTATCCTAAAGGAAAGAAGCCTGCACTAGTTGTTGATCATGCTTCATGAATGGTGAGAGCCTTGGCTTGCCACCATTTGTCATTATCACAACCCGCAGGCCTGAATGGCGGGTCCTCTGGTGGGCCATCACTAGGAGAAAAGGGCCAAATAACATGTGCGCAATCCCCCCTTGACCCTCGACACTAAACCAGCCAAAAAGTGGACACCACCAGCCAGCGCATGTTCCAAACTTACGACATTCAAGCATTCAGCCCCATCCCTGGGAACCGCACCCTTGCTAGCTTTAGCAAATGCACCACGCGTATCCATAAACGCTCCAAGGGCCCCACCTACTCACTATGCAACCACTCCGCAATCTGCCCCACAAACCCCCTGGCATCGCCCGTGACTGGACATACAACAATATCGGCTATGCTCTATATAAAGGAGACGCCTTTCAGACCCACTCCTAGCAAGTGAATGATTTTGCCTTTTTTCTTGCTTTTTCATCTATTGGTTTCTCAGTCGCCTCCCCCCTCAGAATCTACCATACTTGCTATATGTGGTAATCATTGCAGCCAATAAACTACTGAAGTACTTCACCGTTATGTAGAAAGTGCCACCTATTGCAATACTATTATATAGGGGTGTAGATCATGACCCGCCACAATCCAACAAAGAAGGGTGTCACACCATTCGGCGCAAAAGTCAAAGACTACCAAAACATAATAAGAAGACGAACAAGAAGGTGTTTTCAGCACTATTATACATATACCTTAGATATCTACTTGTTTCTTATCTACACGGTGCAGAGGACGACATGCGTGTCAACATGCCAAACTACCCAAGAGATGGCCCCAATGATGAACTATGCTGAAGACAAATCAAGCGCAAAAAAGACATGGAGTAGGTCAAGGATGTATACACACCCTTAGGCAAGTGGTACAATGATAAGTATCCCATTGCTGCCCATGGCAAAGTAGGATTGAAAGAGGCCCAAGCGAAGGTACTCCTTTAAGAGTGGCAAGCCCACAACATTGGGCCACTCAGCACATTGTTGGACAATGCATGATGATGAATGCAACATAAGATGCACAACTAGTTTATAGAGTTTTTCCTACATCAAAGGAAGCATGTTTGTGATGCCATTGATTATTCAAATGGTGGATGCTAGGCAAACTAGTGAACACTGATCTGACTTGATCATTTTAAAGCCAAAAGTTTAGTAAAAGTCGAGTTGCAATGTTTCATCCTAATATACTAAATATACAACATGCAGCCTGGCAACCACACAACCATGCCCAGTTAATGCTTGATGGAGGTTTGGGGATAGGTGCCGTGGTAACCTTGCAAGATGCCAATACTGCTTGTCATGGGGTTTGTGCATGAGCAGGGCTGCATGCATGGGAGGCCAATGGGCAAGGATAAACTTAGAGCACCGTGTCATTGGGACTCGTTTCCAGCGCTAAGAAGTGAAGTGAAACACAGCATAGAGGTGTTTCTTTTGTGCATGCATGTGCGTTCCCATGACAACTAGTTGTGTGCGTCCATCGGGTACCCTTGTGGCTGGCGTCACATGTGCAGCTTGGCGTGCTTGGCTTGCTCCGTCACCCTTTTCTTTTTTTTCGAAACGCTCCCTTCTGCCCGCCCCTCCCTAGTAACCCCCTCTCTCATGGCTATCCGTCAACGCTTGGAGCTCGCAGTTCAGATGGAACTCACTCAACCCAATGCACTGTTGCCGATACGGCACAACGTACAGCCCCGAACGCCTCCACAAAAGCGTCGTGTCAGCAGCCGTCCTCCGCACGCACAACACCCTTCTGGTGCCATTTGCCCGTATCCCATCCCCGCTCGCATCCAGCCACACGGCCCGGCTCATTGGCCAACGTCCAGCGCGCCGCACCCCTCCGCTTGCGCCTACCATGCCTCCCCAGGCAGCCTGGCGCGTGGGCCACCCCAGCGTCCCCCCGCCCACCGCCCGCTGCTGCTGCGATGCCCGCAGCCCCTCGTCCTCCCCTGCGCCTGGCCGCGATGCTGCCCGGCCCAGATCATGCTCATCAACGCCCCACCCAGCCCCTCCCCCTCGATCCCTGCCTCGCTGGCCATCGGCATCACGCCCGACGGGCATGGGCAGCTTTCCTTTGAGGAAGGGGCCCCGGTCAGCGGCCTCCGTGGCTGATGGCGTGGCGAACCGGGGCGGAAATCCGGATGGCGGGTCCCCAATGCCCAGCGGGGAGGCGAGGAGCAGGATGTTTTGGAAGTTGGCGGCATGGCTGGGCGCACCGCTGCTCGTCGGCGCCGGCCTGGCGTCAGTCGGCGTGCTGCCCCCCTGGTCGTCGATCCAGGGAGTGGTCCAGGCGTCCGGGATGTGGAGCTCGGGGTTTTTGGCGGCCACGTCGCTGGTGTTCTTTTCTGAGGTCGGAGACAAGACTTTTTTCATAGCGGGGCTGTTGGCCATGCAGCTGGGGCGCTGGGTGGCCTTTCTGGGCTCTCTGTCGGCGCTGGCGTTGATGTCAGTTGTGTCTGTGGGTATCGGCCGGGCATTTGAGGCCATTCCCGAGGGCCTCAAGGCGAGCCTGCCGATGGGGGAGTACTTCGTGGTGGCGCTGCTGGTGGTGTTCGGCGCGTCGATGCTGCGGGACGCGTTTGGAGGGGGGGAGGAGGGGGGGGAGGAGGGTGAGCTGGCGGACGCGAGGGAGGCGGTGAGCAGGGCGGAGGAGGCGGGCGCGGTGGGCCGGGGACGATCGGCATGGCAGGCCTTCCTGCAGGTGAGAATTGTTGCACCCCAAGAGTATAGGTCATGCAAGGGGCACCCCCTCCTAGGCAAATGTACGGAAAAGAGCATTTTGTTTCATGCTGTGGAAAGGTGATGTAGAGTCCCACAGTGCATACTAATGAGCACACAACGCAAGCAAAGCAAAGATCAGGTATTAAAAGTATCCAGAGAACACAGCACATATCAGAATACTCCCGGTGGCAAGAGTACGTTGGGTTGTTTTCCATTTGCGGTGCTATAGGATAGTGTGTGGTTACGATTAGCAGTTGCATTTGTCAAAAATGCCAAGCACCGCCTCTGCACTGCAAAGCATTCTGCTGTCTGGCTCGTATACGAAATCTCCCTTGTGTGATATCAAGCCATCCATACTTCTTTCCTGCAGGTTGCCTCTCTAATCTTTGTGGCGGAGTGGGGGGACAGATCTATGCTGGCTACCATCGCTATGGGGGCCACAAGGAATCCCCTGGCAGTTGTGACCGGTGCAACACTGGGCCATGCAGCAGCCACAGCGATTGCCGTTTTGGCGTTTTCATGGGCAGCACAATACATATCAGAGCGGGTAGTGAAGGTGCTGGGCGGTGTGACCTTCCTGGCATTTGCTGTGGCCAGCCTGGCATCAGTGCTGCTAGGGGGTGGTGCCTAGAAGGGAAGGCAAAGGCCGTAAGTTCTTTATTTGTGGGTGCCTTCGGTGTTGACAATTCAGCCAGGGACTGTAGGCAATGTGCAGTGGTCCCTGCATCTGAATTATTTATTGTTGGACATGTCATCAAGGGTGCCTGGTCCGAATTTTGATTTTCCGTTGGACCTGTGCATTGAAAAGGCTGTAGGAAAGCTGGGGTTTTAATGCAGGGCCCATCCTGTGCAGCCCCAGAGAACATACCGCAGCTGAAAAATGGAGAGATTACCAGGGAGGGAACTGACACACAGCAAATCTGAACATTTGTTGAAAAAGTTTGCCCGAATTTCAGGGACATTAACGAATTGTAAATTGACAGTATGGTGTACGAATAAACGGGCAGCCATTTGCACAATGGACTGAGCCCTGGTGGCAATTGTGTTGCCCCTTCTTTCCCTGAGTGTTCCACCTCACTTGTGCACTGACTGGATTGAAACTCATCGGAAAGCCATTTGCGTTTCGCTTGGGAGGCTTGTGTGTCGTTCCGGTACATATCAAAGGAGCACTGCTTTGTCCATGCATTTACTTGACGTTTCAGGAATTGGATCGTGGTTGGAGGGCTATCTCTGGAAAGACAGTGCAACATGCAATTTCTCGCCTGGATAGCCTTGTGGTGATGACTCTGTTGCAGAATAGATACAGATCCTGCCACACAACTGGATTGCATTTAATGGCGAGGAGAGTAAATTGTGGGCTCATCCCCGAATTCATCCAGTATCAGAACATGTGCTTGATGCATTCATGAAGTGCTCAGTAACTGGCAACACGCCAGAAGCTGAGGTGTTGGATGTCGTATTCCATTGTTGATGCCGCATCGTTGCAGCTTCTCCTCGGGTGGATGCTCTATTGGAAACATCCTTTCACTGCACTGCAAGGCTCTCCCACAATGTGTGCAACGATTGAGGTAGGATGTCATCGGGTTTGCTCAGAACAGGAATGTGCATTGCACAACACATTCTTTGCCTTGTAGGATTATCACCTGATACCCATGTTGGTGAACGGTGGCCAACCGCAGAAAAAACCTCCATATCATGTTCGTTCGATGGGGTTTCGGCCCTACTTCACTTCTGTTTGCCAGCAAAGGCGATGATCGCCCATTTCAATCGTGCAGACCATCCTTTTCTTCTATAAGAACACTTGGAATCCAAATTTTGGGTCGAACAGCACTGGCTCGCTCAAGCAAGTGGGAGATTAAGTGCCCGCCACCACCGCATTGATGCCGTGGCGCTCTCCCAGAAATGCAATCAACTGTCCTCTGCCAGTCCGCACCACCAATTTGGGGGGGGCGGGCGAGGGCACTGCAAAATTAGGCCGGGCCAGCTGCATGCCTGCGTTGTGTACGGATGAATAAAATCAACCATTGATTCACGTTGTCTGGCCCACATTGCCTGGTCCACATTGCCTGGCCCCGTCTGTACCCTTCCTGAACCACTGGGACGCCCCGCATCCATCGCACAGCAGCGCAACAGACAGCAACAGGCAGTCCTGCATTACCAAGTCGACACAACCAAAATTGCAACGTCGTCTGTGCCACTACCGCGCCTCTGTCCTGCGAACTCTGTCACTGACAGCACCAGCTGCTTGGAAGCACCCAACAAAAGCGCCCCAGCCATCCAAGCATCACAGTGGCACGGGCGTGGAGTGCGTCAAAGCCCAGCATTTTTAACCAAAACCAACAGCACCACGGAGGTGTGTTGAGAATCGTCTACAGCCACATCCCGCCCCCACTGCCTGCGCTCACCGTCCCTTTCCCTGCCCACACCCCACCCAATCTGGCAACAAGTCAGATGGGCAGCACGTCCATCGCACTCCGCTCACGCCACCCATGTATGGAGCCTGCAGCGCTGCCCAGGCCTCCATCTGTAACAACAATACCTTGTCCACCCCCCAACCCCCTTGGTGCTTCCTAATTAAGATATTTGCGGCACACGATCCGCCCCCAAGCTCTGACTGCGCTTTCGAACCTAACATGTAAAAGCGCTAAAACTTTCCACCCCAAATCCCTTGCCTGACTACATGTAAGTGCCCAAGCAGTCTTGTCGCTCAAGAAGACTGGATAGCACTGAAGCGCATCATGCCGACTTCACTGCCAGTAGTTAAGTTGCATGGGCGCCCAGCAAGTCTCTGTCAGCCTCCGGTTCGAGCAACTGGTGCCCACATGATGCTAATGCCAGATTATCAGACGCACCCGTCGCTGGCCTGCCCGCTCCACAGCCCGGAGCAACACCTCTACACCTCCTTGGGCGGTCTCCTTCGGCACCTCTCACCCCGCCTTTCCCCAGGCTCAGTCCCGGAGCTCTTCATGCGGGGATTCGCCAAGGAGCAGTTTTGAACTGTCTCGTTGCTTGCCATCGAAATCGAAATTCCCCTCTGCGTCGCTTCGAAACTGCCCGGCCAAGCTGCTTCGACCGCGTGCACATTTCCAGCGCAAACACAGCGCCCCAGCAACTCAAAGTTGGTGGCCGGCCGTCCCACATCCCTCAACTGGCCCCCCTAGCCGACCCCCTCCCGAATCACCTTGCGTCTAGCGTGATGAGCGACATGTGGCCCTCCTGCACGATTTCGTCCAGGTTCAGGATCTCCGTCTCTCCCGTGGTGTAGATGATCTGGGCGGAGTGGGCCTGCACGTCCACCCTGTGAATCTGCATCAGGTACCACAGGTTGTCGTCCGGCCAGAACAGCTCGGCCTGGCGGCCCTCCAGCCTCTCGCTGATGTCCTCGTGTGTCAACAGGCGGCCCGGTGCCTGTTGGAACGCAAAGCACTCGTTTGCCGTTGCGGTCGCATGTCACGGCGTGAATACCGCCAAATGCAAGGTTAATAATGTCGCACAACTCGGCCGTGGCACAGCACGCTTTCAACCACCAGTGCACTATTTTGGGCTGTGTAGCACGGTGTGAAATTTTGTACAGTGGTCAGTTTCCGCCAATGTACGTTGGGGAAGCAACAATGAAAAGCGATGCGTTCTGTCTTCTCCGTGGCAAGGGTGGCACTGAAACATTGTTTATGGGCTGGCGACGCTACCGTGCCCATTCGTTGCGCAGTGTATATTCGTACAGCCCTGCGCAGCGTGAACAGTGGCGATGATCATAGCGACTAAATGTTGTCAACATATTGCTGTCTCGCAAGAATTATCACTCAAGTTCACAGGGAATGCTGTGTCCACCACACGGTGGATGGAGCGACAGGTGAGAGGCCAGAACGGCTGGGACAACGGAGCAGGGCATGTGGGGTGTTGATTTCAGATCTTGTAATGGCGCATGCGGTGGAGGCATGGAGTACACTCGCTGGAGCGAGAAATACCCATCCATGCGGACTTGGTACAATGTTGTTGAATTTGAAGCGGAGAAGCGTAACGGAGAATGTTGGATACTCTTTCATCGGCAGCAATTGCGTCGTGAAACTTCTGCTCTTCGACCCGACGCACACCGACACATATCCTTCCTCCGATGCAGTCTCGCTGTCGGCGGCTTGCATAGCACTGCAAAGTGGACAAGGCTGCAGCGCCATTTTGCCGGGAGGGGTCGTTCCAACATCTGACACGTCGTCGGAAGTGCACAGCACATCTCAACACACCCGTGCAATTGCAAGTGCACGCAACATTCTCAACGCCAACACATTTCAATGTGCTGCGTGCGTGGCTCACCTGCGGCGATTTTGCGGAATGGCTCATGCCCTGCGGCGGCTTGACTTGGAACAGCACGTCCTCAGATATGGGGGTGTCTTCCAGCCGCAGGCCTGCCACCCCGCGGCTGCCAATGGGCATCAGGGGGTCAGGTATCACCAGCGGGTCCGCTGACAAGTCCCCCGCGGATATGTGGGGCGAGGGGCTTGGAGAGGGGTGCGTTGGCGTCAGGGAGGGGTTGGAGTACACCGAATGGACGCGTGTCAGCTGCGCGGGGCGTTCTCTCTTTATACCTAACAGTGATTCGTGCAAATGGTCGTTAAGACGCCAGCCAACAACAGGAAAAACGCTAACATTGAACTCAAAAAACACAGGCATTTTGCGTATATTGAGCACATGACGTTAATTCAAAGCCTCAGCTGTTCAGGGGAATTCCAAATTGGAAAATTACACTGGCGGCGTACAGTGTGCAAACTTCAGGACCTGTTTGCATCAGCACAGAGCGGAGGTGGGGGTTCAGCTTGAGCTGGTAAGCAGTGGCTCGAGGCAAACGGCAACAGCCTCACTGGCTTGTCACATGTCTGACACGCATTGTGCGCTTATGTGAATGGCTGATGTCGTATGACTGTTGTGCGGTGTTTGAAGCGACTTGGGATAGTCTGTACACGGGGGCCAAAACCGTGCGAAACTGGCTGCTCCTTGCCGTTCATCGGACAGGATCGCGGGATGCCACAAATTGGCGCATTGTTTATTGACATCCTCTGGACAAGGCAGCGAGATTCTGACCAATTTTTTCTGACCATTTTTTTAGTCGACGGAGTCAGCAATTGGGGAACCCAACATCTCCCTCCGATGGGATGTATGGCGATTTGTGCAGCCACATTGACCATTCAACACCAAGCAACCAAGCAACAGACAGCACCAAGAAAGGGAGGACATAGCCATTGGTGGCTGTATACAGTGCACAGTCCGACATGTCACCATCTGGGCACATCCAAAAGTGATGGTGCATATGCGGTGGTGCCTGCGAACATGCTCAACAAAGCAACACTGGCTGGCCTGTGGGAGCGTTTTTTTTTACTATTCCAACATTTGCCAGTTGCAATAAGCTGCATGCTACTGATGCTGCCAAAATCAGCAGGCTGCATGGCCCAAACTGCCCTTTGCAGGCTGATGGCCATAAGCCTATACAACAGCCCACTGGTTGTTAGCCCGCAAGGCCACCAAATGCAAAATTGCATCCTGTGATCTGAACTCTGAGGCAATTTCGAATACACAGCAACAGATGTGGCGCACCACTATCTTTTGCCTTGGATGGCCTCCTCGCCTCCGGCTGGTTTCGAGGGACTGGCTCCTCGTAGTTTTCCATGTCGCCCCCTTGCTCCTTGATTTCCTTCTTCAACAGCTTGATGTCTCCCATGAGTTCCAGGTAGTGCACTTGGAGAAGCTCGAAAGCCTGCGTAGCATGGCATGGCAGAGGCGCGCGAAATGGCGCCACAACAGCTGTTACGATCTGACGACTTTATCGTGTTTCAATGAACGTTGCGTTACGGAAATTACAAGATTTTCAGCACTTGTTTGAGCCCATGCTTATTATTCTCAACTTCCAACACGGCTTTCGAATCGCAAAGACAGATAGAACTTGTGCAAAACAGGCAATTTTATGCCAATGCTGAAAAGGCGGGCAGCAGCGCAATTACTGGTGCCTGCATCTGAAGGTGACCTGGATGAAACACTGGCAAAAGTGGCCCAAAGAAAACCGTTCAAAATACATCGATTGATTTGTTTTACCACACGGCACAGTTGTGGCACATGAAATCAAGCAGTTCAGCGCAAATTCACACGCGAATCTCAATATGGTGAAAAGTTTATTGATGCCAATAGAATGCGGCGAATTGGGTGAAATAGAACTTCAAGAAACGGAATGAGACAAATTGGATAAGCAAGAAGTTCTATGCCAACGGAATGAGGTAGATTGGGTGGAGCAAATCTTTTCAAACATAATGCGGCAAATTGGGTAAAGAAGAAGCTTCATGCCAAAAAAGGCAGCACCTGCTGTGCCAGAGCGTATTTCTCTTCTGCAAAGTGCATCAACATCCTGTGGTCTTCCTCCATCTCATCCAGCACAACCCTGCATGCGTCTTCAGAGAAATGGCTCAAGCCCCTGTGCTCGCGCTCCAGCTGCTCTTGGGACTGGGCCATCTGGCATCAGAAACACCAATTGACAACACTTGTCAAAGCATGAACTGGAGAGCATGCACAATTGTGCATAGAGTTAACAACAAAACAGAAAGCACAAATCAAGTTGATGCCATGCGGTGTGTAGATGGGAAGCAGGAACACTGCATTTTAGACACAAGCAACTGATTTTTATGGCAGCGGCCGAGGGGCAAAAGGGGGCATGCAAGGCACAAATATAATCAGCAGTGTCGACGAATGGCAGAGACGTGTGTGCCAGCAGTTCAAAAGCCGGCTTCACCAATGTTCTGTAGGACTTGCCAAGTCAGCAGTCACTGGAGAATGCACTATCTGGTATCTGGCAGTTCCTGGGAGGGCTACCAACCTTGTCTTGAATTTCTGCAAGATCAACAGCACAGCGCAACATCAGAATACGTGTTTGAGCCGCAGGAAAGAAAGTTGCATGAAAGGTTGTGAGGGGAGCTGCAGCATTCAGCAGCCTTGAGGGTCCACTTGCAGAATTTGAGCAACACAGCTACAAATAACATGAACTACAAGTCTGCAGTTATTCTACATAAAACTGCTAAGCCACAATACACACAAACCGATGATGACAGGCGTGGTGACCTGGATCAACTGACACGCCTTACAATCCCTGTGCAGCAATGCATGGTAAGTTCACATGGTGCACCATCGACACATCAATGCATCAAACAGAACAATCTGTGCATAGACACGTGTGCCCCCTCAGCTTTTTGCAGCCCCAGAACTCCAACAAAACAAAGAGACACATCGGCGTTTTGAGCAAAATTGCATGTGTGATGAACAACAATGATCTGGACATAATTTTTAGGCACATAACGCTGGCACGCAACACTGCACTGCACCTTCACATTTCTCATCCAAGGATTTCATCAGGTTGTATATCCTCAGGAGTTCAGGAGGTAAGCAGCTCGTGCCTGCAGTACAGCATAATGTGCACAGCTTCATTTCTTCTGTTGCAGCAACCCCACTGGAGAGTCCCAGCCACCTCTCCCATCCTGCTAGAGGCCAACACTGCCCTATGCATCAGGACATCATAGCACCAAAAGCCTTCGCAAATGTCAACTCCCTCCCATACAGAACTACTTTCAGATTACATGCGCTTTCACGCGGCACAAAAGTGGGATAGCATCCGGAACAAAACGACATTCATGCACAGAAAATTGTGTCCCCAATTGTTCGTGAATCCTTCTGCCAGCAATTCGCACACAGGCCAGAATTCTGGCCTGTAGCATGAACCCCTTTTGTGGGCTGTTGTTGTTGAGCACTGTGACATCCTCATGAAATGTTGGACACATGCAATGATCTGTGTGTCAATTTTCACACCACTGCGATGGATACTTTCAAACCGTGGGATTTTGATCTGCCACGCAATATACAGTTCTAGCCTGTGGCAGCTTCTCAGAACCTCCTATTTCCTGGCTTTGTTGTCTGTGTGAGCACGGTTGCAATGTGCTAATGAGAAAATTCGACACCCCAGCCGGCTCCAACCAACGTCCATCGGCATTGGGTCGGACACTGCATCAAATCTATCAGGGCTTGTGGTGAGGATTCGATCTACCTTGCAACACCACTGCCTTTCATCCCAACAGCAGCATGCCAGCACATGGATGCCACAATTATTGCCATCTTATTCCTGGACTACTTTTCCCAGATATTTCTCTGCTCGTTGTTACAAACTGGGCCTGCATCCTGCAATCTGCTGCTCACCATGGCAGAATATTCCATTCCTAAGCGAAAACGGAGCATCAACGCCCGTTAAAGCAAATGCAACAAAAATAAATCCCAAAGAGGCATCATTTCAGCATTACTCAAGTACTGTGAACCCTTGTAGTGCAACCAAATAGTGCTAACCGTCGTGCTCACTTCACAAAAATTGGTCACAACTCAAGTGCTGCACTTCTGTGATTTCTTGCACGTTCTGATGAATCAGTCAGCAAATCCTGATATGGCAGTCCAGAGATGGTACCCACCTCCAATGGCTATGCACATCCACTCCCACATCAATTGTGCGATCCCCATTATGCCAGGAAACTTGTACTTCAACTATTTGGGGTGTTTGAGCCTTACTATTGAGGATGAATTCATTCATACGACGCAGAAAATATGCACAAAATGCCTTGCCCAAGAACGGCTACCTGCTGCAGCACTCACATACTTCATCTCACAAAGGTAAACATCGACGCAGGCCTCAGAAAGCAAAAGTCTCCTGGGAATGCACGGTTCCCTGCCCATGTGAAAGCTGGCCCAATGGCTTTGCCCCATTGGCAACAAGCTGCCAAACTGCACCATCGCAGAATTAAGTTCTGCGCCACAGAACGTGGCATTTTTCAGAAGTTCTGGCCACCGCCGGCTCTATGAAGATAGCCATTTGTGATTCATTTATCTTGCTGTTGTGCACATTGTTGAGCCCTGTGGGCCCCCTCCAACACATGCCACCTTCCCCCCAACCAGGACACATGCAAGCAGCATGGATTCGGTTCCGCACACACCCACGTGGACTCCCACGCTTTCCATCCCTCAATCACAGATTTCTGCAACATCTTCAACTGTACAGAAAGCTGTGCAGCAAAAGTTATTGCTGGGGAGGAGGGTGCGCCGTTGAATCACATGGCCCCTTGCCAAAAGGCCAACACTTCTCCCTGCCGTTCATGGCCCAATGGCCCCAGCGCCCATGTCCCCACCCCCACCCCCACCCCGCCATTTCACCAACTGATGCCCACATGGAGCGCCACGCGGACCCCCCGGCCCCCTTCCCCACCCGTTGCGCCCGGCCAGGCCACCCACGACCCACCCTAACCCCAAAACACCACCCCATTCCCCGGTAAACCGCCACCACTCACTCTCTATGAAACTCTCTAAGTACACGCCGTTGTTCGTGGCCGCCATGGCGATGGCCGCGATCCCGTCCCCGCGCCAGCGGCCCCCGGAGAAAGATGACGCCAAACCGGGGCGAGGAGGCGACCAGGCAAGTGACCGCCCGGAGGAGCACCGCCCGTGGCTCCTGCTCCCCAGTCGCACCCACCCCGTGGCCAATCTCGCGAAACGTGCCGTTACGCGTGACGCCCCCCCACATGGATGCCCAATTCGGCGCGGGCTTGATCGGCCAGTGCATTAGCTTCCTGGGGTTGTTGTGTTTGGACGCCGCGAGCGAGGAGCGGGCGCGGGGGAGAGGTAAGCGGGTTGCGGTCAACGTGTTCGCCATTTTGCAGGTGGGCCGCGCGGGGAGCACGGAGGCGCGGACATGGCGGCCAAGCTGGACCTCAAGAAGCTGCGGGTGCCGGTGAGTGGGCCATGGGGGCCGACCAGCGTCCTGCCCTGTTCGGTATCTGTGGAAGATCTCCCGTGGGTTTCCGCCAGCGCGCTGACCTCTCCGTCCATCGCCCCCCCTCCCCCCCCCCCCTTTCGCCTCATCTCCGCCCGATGGTCGTCCCTGTGGACGACGCGCGATGATCTTTGAGCCACGGACTTTGGCACGAGTCCCCCCGCCCCCGGCCTTGTGCGCTTGTTTTCTCGCCATTCTTCGCGGCGCTCGCGCTGTGCGCTCCCCATTCTGCGCCGGAGACTCCGCATCATCCCTTCACAGCATCGCAAAGAGACCCGTGTGCGCTTGCCCAGGAGCGGGCGCCCTTTGCACGACCCCTGTTCCTCGTTCTCTCTCTCCTCTTCTCCCCTTAACCTCTTGCCCCCTTTCTCTTCTCTCCTCTTATCCTTTTCTTCCATTCTTCTCTTCTCCCCTTTCTCCTTTCCCTTTTTCCTCTTTCTCAGCGAATCCTACCGCCCCGCCCCCACGCAGGAGCTCCGCGAGGAGCTGGCATCGCGGGGAATGGACACCACCGGCACCAAGTCCGTGCTGATGGAGCGCCTGGAGAGGTCCCTGGACGCCGACGCCGCCCAGAAGGCGGCCGCAACATCCGGCATGGCCCCCGCGCTCGTGGTCGACGACACCAACGAACCCCTGGCCGACGTCCTGGCCGCCGGGGGCCCCGGGATGCCGGCAGGCCAGCAGCAGCGCAAGCGGCTGCTGATGCGGGCCAAGAAAGCGCCCGCGGCGGGCAAAGCAGGCGGCGTCAAGGCGGGGGAGGGGGAGAGGGAGAAGGAGAACGGGGCAGATGGGGACGCGGACAACGGCAAGTCGCAGGTGGGGCGGGGTGGTGAATTTTTGCTTTCCCGTTGATGGGGTGCGATGTGTTACAAAGATAAAGATAAACTGGTCATGTAAAGTTTTGCTTCCCCGTTGATGGGGTGGGATTTGACAAAGAGGAAGAGGAAACAGGTCATGCAAAGTTTTGATTCCCTTTGGTGAGGTGAGATTTGCTACAACGAGAAACGGAAACAGGTGAATCAAAATTTTGTTGCCCTCCTGCCGGTCTTTGCGGGTATACCACGGACAGTGACGTGCGCATCTGTGCCATAGCACCATATGCAGGAAATCGTCTTCTTCTTCCCTGCTTGTGTGGTCACGGTTGGGGGTGGCAGGACTGGAGAGTGTTGAGGTTCCAGGCTGTGCACATGCTGGGAGTGGGCGCGCGATTTCCATGTTCGTTGCCATTAGGGGGAGCAACACTGGATCGAGATCTGGTTGAGATTTGTACCAAGGGGAAGAGAAACAGGTCGTGCAAGTTGCAAGCCCTCCTGGGCAAGCGTGCTGGATCGGGGGTGTGGCTGCGCTGATGTTGGGGATGTGGAGCATGTGTTTGCAAGGGACGTAGCCGTTGTGTGGGCTGTACGAATAGGCGGTGTAGCAGGGACGTGGAAAAGCAGCGGGATAGGGGGAAAGACAATGAGGGGGCAGAAGGCTGGGTTGCTGATGTCATTGATCGGATGGCAGGGACTTGCATTGGCGGAAATGGCCTTCACCCATGCATGTGCTCGACCTGCAAACGTGGTCCATGTTGGTGCCCAGTTTGGACCGCCCTGCAGGCATTGATGAGGACTGTTCACTCTCCATCCAAAGGGTTGGCTCATTGATTGGGCTTGGGCTCTGGTGGTATGTTGGTGCAAGATGAGCTGGTCAGCCGAACTGGAGGGGAGCTGGTGGGGTGGAGTCTCTTTGCTGCTTGAAAGAGCATCATGACGTGTGGTGGGCAACCCTTAGCGAAAGACGGCAAGACAGCGTGTAGAAGGCAGGGTGCGGAACCTGGCTGTGACTGAATTTGCCAAGAGTGGCACAATGCACAATTGGGTGTGCTGACTGCCACGATGGCGCTCTGTGCCTGAACACAGAGTGCAGCTGTCAAAGATGGGAACATACTGGCTGGTGGCGTATGTAGACATGGCAACCCCTTGACAGCACACAAAATGGTCTCGAAATTTGGTCGTTGGGAGGGGGTGGTAGGGGTGCTTTGTGTGACCTGTTTCATTCTTTGGTTTAGGGATCATTGGCACCTCTGTTGAGGGCTCCATAGCTGCCAATCCTGCCCTGTACAGCTCAAGTGCAGTTGTCGTGGAACCTCCTGGCACTGCCACGAAAATGACTCCTGATGGCACAAAAGTTCCAACCTGGGATTGGATGTGGCATTGGCAGGCCAACACAGTGGGCTTTTCCCTATTGAATAAGGGTGCCATTGGGCTGGGCCTAATAGACGAGAAAAATTCATTGGTTTCGATCGTTGTTCTGGTAAGATGGCCACCCATGTCAGCACGCTTATGCTGTGGCTGAAATGTCAGCTAAAGGATAGTGGTCCAGACTGTTTGTGTCCTCGAACAGCAGAGGACATCACAAAATCCTGCTCCTTTGCCAGCATCTGCGCTGATGAACCAGCTTGATGCTGTAGGCCAGACATTTATCATGACATTCCTCCTTGAATTCATCGATCAACACTTGCTTAAATACCACCCTTGGACTTTCTATGTGCTACCGAGATGATTTTTGATGGTTGGAAGCTCAACCTGCATTTCTTGAACCAGAGTGGATGGCTGCTGCATGTTTTGCTTGCTTCTGAGTGTTTGAAAACAACAGGTCAGACGAAATTTAACAAGCTATTGTCAACAATGTGGCTGAATGGGGGAGAAGGGAAGTGATGATCAGTGAGAATTGCTGCAAAAGGAATAGGTCTGCGTTTTTCGCCCCCTGTCGCAACAATCGATGGCGAGACTTCCTATTCGCGTGGGCATTAAGACGATTTGGATTGTACCAATGAAGTGCGTTGGGAAGGACCCAGCAGTGGGAGGAACACGCAACTGTAGTTGTGCACATCTGTGTATGAAAGGGCCCAATTGCCCAGCTCGACATCTCAAGGCCTCTCATGGCATATCATACCCAGATGCTCATAATCTGATGGAAAGCAACGTATTTCCCCTTCTGGTCATGTTCCACTGACCATATTGATTGTTCTCATCCCAGGCGGCGAGCCTGGCAGGAGCTGCAGATGGACCGTCTGGGTCCAGCTTCGGCAGCAAGGCCAAGCACCAGGCCATTGTTTTCAATGGCGCCAGCGCAGTCGATGTGAAATTGGTGCCCAATGTGAAGGCACCAGTTGTGGAGACGTGAGTGGACAGAAACTGAAGCAAAGCACAAGCTGCATATCTTGATGGCATCTGGACTACTGCAGTTACCATACTCTGGAATGTCCCACACAGTAATGAATGCAGAGCATCAGTGCTGCAACAAGTTGCTGCTGTTTGTTTGTACAGCTGCATATATGCACGCATGTGTCTTCTGTGTTGTATTGGTATTGATCGAATTTGTTCGATGACATTGTTGTGATGTCACCAGTTCAATGCACTTCTTATCCAGATCAGTGGATTGCTAAGTGTAGCATCTGAACAAGGACTTCATTCAGATGGGGCATTGCACTGCACACATCGCTGTTATGGTCCGCAGCTAGGTATTGTCGATTTCCTCAGAAACATTTGTTGTAGCAATTGAAATAGCTTCGTTTACAGTTGTGCATTGTTGCATGTCCATCAGGGTTGAAGAGTCATCAGAAGCGGAGAAGAGAAAAGAGCGAGCGAAGAGATTTGGAATTGTAGGTGGTTTCCTTGTTTAGAACTTTTGCATCTCTCTTATGGTGCCAGCTGACACGGTTTTCCTTGCCAAATGGATATGTGTAAACTGGTGTTGCTTTCTTGGAGCTGTCTCTTATGCACTGATTGACTTAGCACCATGTCCTGCGAGGGCTCTCTCAGTGCTGGCAAACTTGTCCTTCTTGCCACCCTGCATCTGTATTGCACCTATTCACTCGTGTATCTGCATCTGGCCGTCCATCTTTAGAAGTGAAAGCTGTTCCCATAAATAGTAAACAAGAGATGAAGGTAACATGGTACCATTTTCTTGTTTGTAGTGGCTGTGTTCCATTCACCAGTTGACTGCCACACCGCCATGTCACCTTGTGCTGAGGAATACGGTGTACGATCTGAATTGTGCAAGTTCTCCATGGGAATAGTGTGCCTTGTAACAAGGAGGGGTATGTTGTTGTTTGGAGGCTCAACACCTGTGGTAATTGGTCCAGCACAAAGAAAAGGGCTGATTGCGTGGAGATCGTCCTGTAGTGCCCTTGTGAGGGTGAATGCATAGTGTTGACTTTATGAATCATGAACCTAATGCAGCCAAGTCGGGATTTCGGTCCACTGAAGCTGGTAGTGGTGCTGCTGAGGGTGTTCTTCTAGCATTCCTTGCTCTTTTTTTGGCCAGCTATCTGAACACCTGTTAGAGTATATGGAGGAATGGATGCGTAATACTGCAGATATGGAATTCTTTATGGAAGTCTGCATAGGAAACTGGGTGCAGGCCCCTTGGTTGCGAGCGCGGCCTTGATTGTGCACAAGGCACTGTTGCTGATGCTGTTGGTCATGACTACGTTGAGAATCGACGCTGTATGGGGGTGTTGCCCTGTTCTGTGCCAATGTGCTTCCATGACGTTCACACCCCAGGACTCTTCACCTAAATGGAGCGAAGCTTGATTGCCCACTGCACCAGCAAAACCATTCGTTTGACTCAATGTGTGCGTCCTGTGATTAGAATTTCTCGTGGCATTGTATCCATCTTGCGAGTTGGACCCACTTTCTTTGGCATGCTCCTCAGCAAGAACTGTGAAGTGACGTTTCCATGCTGTGCACCTCTGCACAGTTCGACTCCAGCCTTGAGGCCGACAAAAAGAAGGCCCGCGCGGCCCGGTTTGGCATCCCCACACAGGAGCTGGAGGAGGAAAAGAAGAAAGAACGCGCCAAGCGCTTCGGCATCCCCACGCCGGAGCTGGAAGAGGAGAAGAAGAAGGTGCGCGCCAAGCGCTTCGGCATCGTGACCAAAGAGGACGAGGAGGAGAAGAAGCGGTCGCGGGCCAAGCGCTTTGGCATAGTCACCGCAGAGGGGGAACGAGAGAAGAAGAAGGCTCGGGCGGCACGGTTCGGGCTCAGCGCGCCCACCACAGGGCTGAGCGAGACCGAAAAGCTGAAAAAGCGGGCGCAGCGATTCGCCAGCTGAGGGGGGAGCCAGGGGGGCGGGGGGGAGGGGGGGGGGGGCAATTGCTGCTGCGTGCGACGACTGGGAGTTGGTCCTCGAAGTTGCAATGTGGGGACGCGTCACCAGATGATGCAGTGCAATCCTGAGGCCGCGGTGTCACTCATGACGTCAGGGTGGTAGTTGCAGTTCTGCGTGTTGGGCGACATGAACCTTCCTGCTGGGGAAGAGGGCCCTTGTTGTGGTAGAGTGTGTCACTGCGCACAAGGCGTGGATTTGTTATGTGCCATGCACCTGATAGCACCAAGCTGTTTTGGGTAACGGGGCGGTTGCGGTGTGGGTGGAGAGAGGCTTCCAAAGGCGGCGGTTGCACGGATGGTAGGGAATGGGTTGTCTTTGAGTGAAGTTGGGGAAGGATTTGGGGAGTGTCATGTGCAACACGGACTCCAGCGCCGTGGGCCGTCAAATGCATCACGTGGAGGTGCTGATGTGCTGCCATCACACTGCCTCCTCCATGTCAAGAGGCACTTGCTGTTCTGTGAGGGTTACAATGCCTGCCTGAATTTGCGACAGGCGTGGCTGGGAGAACCGCTCTTTTGGGCGCACCTAGGGTTAAATTAACACTCTCATTCTTTCATGCGACTTGGAGGGAAATTCTGAATGGGAGCAGGGGCAAGTGCTCCAACGAGGCCTCACATGGGTTGCCTTTGGACCTAGCCGTCCGCGGCTGCAATGTCAGGGTATGCTGTGCACGATCTGCAGCTGTCCTGTCGCCATGGCGGCGGCACCCTGCCCTAGTGCCCGCCGACGCTTGGTTGCGCAGCATCACAAAAGGGCGAGGCTGTTGGTGCCATGGACGTTTTGTTGGGGGCACCAGCTCTGCCATGTAAAGGGATCCACATGCATGTGCCTCTTCTGGATTCTCCTGGCTCCAGGGACAGTGCTTCTCTCTCAGTGCAGGTGTGCACGCATTGCTGATGGTGTTTTCTATTAAAACGCCTCAACGGACCGCCCCTTACCCATCCATCATCACTTCCCACTTCTCCCTTCCCCTTTCCCCAAGATACATGTCCCCCTCACCTCCCTACATTGCCCCGGAGTCGCTTGTCAACTTAGCCGGACAAGCACCATTCCGTTGGCTGAGAGGCTTGCTGCATGGCCCGAAATAGCCTCCTTGCCCTGGAGGTCCTGAATGCTTTCAAACATATGTCCGTGGAAACTCATCTCCCAATGCCCAGTGCACTGTCCATGGGGGCACGTGCCCTCCTTCCTTGCCCACCCTTGCCCATCGCAACTGCCTCAAGAAATGAAAGCACCTGCAGGACTGTTGCCACCTCATCTGGGTCCCCGCCCACCCCCCGCATGACCGAAAGCATTTGTCTCATCATCGCTCCCTCAGCCACTGATCTCCGTCCCTACAGAGGGGGTCCAGTACCCACAACAAACGGCTGCCTCGATTTCCTCGTGTGTGAGTGTTGGTGAATACTCGGAATGGGACGATCGAAGGGCGTGTGTTGTGTGCGCTCCTGAGCGGCATCACAGCCGTTGCTCACCTTCCATGCTGCTGGACGCTTCCAGTATGCCACGCGGAATGGTTAAATTGAATTGTGTAGATCTGCGCTGCACCAAGAACTGGACCAGGGCAATTTTGCCACGCTTAACGACGATTTTGAACGGAAAAGTTCCAACCGTCGACGACAAGGAATTTTGTTAGTGCGGCATAATCGACGTTAGCCAATAAAAGCCCAAATCACCCCTTGTTTGTCCAAACAACTCGCTAGGGCGTTCGGTGTGCAGTTGCCAATCGCAAAAGAAAGGATGAAGCTCGCATTTTGGCATCTCTTGAGCAACGGGAACGCTGCAGCATGCGCTCAAGCTGTTCCATTTATTGGGCCATCGCTTCCGGTCACCTTGGGACACCCGTTGGCAATGGGGCCGCAACGTCAGGGTTTTCAATCTATCCTCATTTGGGCGCGGAACACGATGTGGCGCCGGCGCATATTTTTTCTTCTTCCTTTTTTTGTTCTTCTGGGAGGGAATGTGGGGTGATTGGGGGCATACTGAGCCGTGCGTCGATTCGACGTTAAGTACGATGAAACCACTCTGGTGGCGGCCCAAAGTTGGGTGAAAATTTCAGTATAGAACAACAATATCGCCTAAAGTTGTACGTGCGACATGCTATGTCACACAAATGTAGTTGCGCATTTAAATTTGATGTCTGTACCAATGTGTATGCATTGTACAGCAATCTGGCTGCATTCTTGTAGCATGTGCAGTTCTGTCAATTCTTAAATATATACGAGCAACCTAAAGCGGATCTCACCGTTGGGGAATTTGAACGCGGGAGGCAAGCTGTACCACTGGAGGTCCTGCATCATTCAAAAACTGACTGGATTCCGCCCACAGATGTAAATTTGGTACGGAAATGTTCATTGGTCAGAGTCACGAGGGCCTTTGAAACGGGCCCCATCTGCATTGTGGACTTAATGTATTCTGCGACAAGTCTAAGCTTCCCTCTACCACGCTTCCACCCCTCCATCCCGTCTGCACCTCGCTCAGATCTACTTCTCTCTATATTTTGTATCATATTCCTTCCTCTGTCTCAAATTAAATGACCCAATTGTTTTTAGCACTGTGTTTTCACCAAGATGACTTCCTTTTTCCCTCAAAATAGACATACAGCAAGGCATATGAGTACACAGTATGCTATCAAAATTTTAGATAAATTTGCTGGGTGCAGAACAATTAGCGTCAGTTTTATCCATGTAACTAACCCCTTGAATCCCTAATAATCCACAGCCTCCCGAACACCGACGTTTTCCGGTATGTCGAGGGCCGCCCTTTTAAGAGGGCGAAGCGCTGCCGCTCGAGCAGAGCTGGCCACGCCGGTCAGACTGAAGGTGGATACGGTCATTCTCAACGCCCCAGGAGCATCAAAACGCCTTTCGAACGGTTTGATCGAGCATGTCTGTGGCCTGATCGGTTTCCCGGAAGCTGTGGATTATCAGGGTTTTCGGGGGGGTGGGTGACATGGATAAAACTGACGCCAATTACGTTGTACTCAGGCGATTCTTCTGAAACTTGAGGGCACACTCTATACTCAAGTGCCTTGTTGTGAGTAAATTTGCAGGGAAAACGGAAGTCATCTTATGGTGAGGACACAGTGCTGGAAACAATTGGGTCATTTAATTTGAAACACAAATACATATTTGGTGTTATTTCACTTGACAATGTAGACTATATAGAGACACATATTTTTCGAAGAAGATAGATCTTCCATTTGAAATTGTATCAAAGTTGGTGGTAGACCGCTGAACTCTGCAATCGACAGTTGAAAAATCCTGCACTATGTCGATTTGATTTCGAGTCTTTGCATGATTCCTCTTCAATCCAGTACATCAGCATTTTCGTGAGATCGAAGCTAGTGTCACCAGCACGCCCTCATGTGTCCCTCCGTTGGGTCTTGGGAATTCCACTTTGCACCACGAGGACTAGGATTGTCCGGTTCTACATGCAAAATTTTCATATGCCCACAGTCAATCCGGCAGATGTCATCGAATACAGTGGTTGGATGAGACTGTCGAGGTAAAGTCTTAACGCAATATCTGCGATACGGCTCGATACGCTTGTGTTGGAGATGTGCGATATGTTTGGGACAAATTCTGCACTTTTGAGTATGCAATGTCCCAGGTGGGTGTGCACCATGAAAAGATGTCAAAGGGATGACAAATAACAAGTACTTGTCTTCTTGTTAAGTGTTGATGCAGTGCGTTTGGCTCACAACAATGCGTTTCAATTCACCTGTGTAGCCATGGATGGGAAGTTGGATGCCCACTCAGAGCAAATCTTGGATTGACTTTTTTTGAGACCCTTGAACCTAGAACGTGCTACATATGGTGTCTCAAGTCAAGAGTAACATTGATGAAATCTACGTCAGGTGAATATCTCGCTTGCAAGGCAAATCAGTTTGTTCGTTACAAATTGTAACAACTGATGTGCCCTACTGTAACATACAATAATGACGTCGTTAAAAATTACATAATTTGAAGCAAATTGGCTACAGACAATGTTTTGTGCTCTTGCTTGTAAATCACAACGTTAACAATTGCCCCATATTGAGTACCTCCACTAAATGCCCAAACATTCAATAAAGTCATTTAGATTGGCCAAAATAGTATGACGTAACCTGAATTGCAAATACCACATTTGCAGTAGTACACTAAATCACATCCACCACGCCGGGCGTGAACGCAAAAGAGTATGACAGCATTAAGGCAAAAACAACGATTGAATTGGCAACTTGTTGATAGCGAATTTTCTCCCCCAAATGGAGAATTGCTACTTGCACGAAGTTACACCTATACGCGGCTTTTCAATTTCTTGTGAAAATCCGTAATTTCGTCATTTCTGCTTAAAATGGTGCTGATAAAGCCTCAGACGCTCACGCACCTGAGCCTCAAAGGCTCACGCACCTAGAATATTCTTCTCCAAGCATTCACTTCTTGCGCACAAGTGCCTTTGGTAGCTTTTGAAGCAGAATAGACAATTATCTTCACAGTTGGAAGAAAATTCTATGTGGCCGCGGCCTCTCTATTCATAATATAATTTCATAGCGCATATTGGTGCGGGCTTTCACAGCTGAATCTAGTTATGATATTATACACCCACAGTCGGAAAATGTGGTGAAAGCAAGTACTGTTAAGCACTGTGCCTTGTATCTTTTTGCTGAAAACTTTCTTATTAGGGCGGTCAGGTCAGTCAAATTATAGCATGGGATTCACTTCATGCAAGCTTGACGTAGGTTATTCCTGAAATTGCATACATTCGAAGAACTTGGTTGGGGTCGACCCTACGATTTCAAGCGTTTCATACAGACAATTTCACAGTTTTTTTCTTCAGAAACATCAAGCCTACAAATGAAATGTGTAGATGTCACATGGATACTGCCCAAAGCAGATTTGGTATTTGTGCTTAAGGCATTGCTTTTGTATTCACGTTTTAGCTCATAAAAGAGCGTACACACACATAAATGGCTTTCTATGGCTAGCACTAATATAGATATTTACGGCGCATTTAGGCACCCATGTTACATGATGAAATCACAAATAATGATCAGTCCTCCGCCATTTATGGCAGCCGAATCACAGCGCAGCCCTCAGCCTCGGCGAAGGCAATGAGGTGTCCGAACAAGAAGTCGTCGTCTGCCCACTCCAGCGCGTCTGGCTGCCACTCCCTGAACTCCTTGAGCCTGCATGTACTATCTTCATACATATACATGTATATATATATATATATATATAGGACTGCACTTATGCGATTTGACATTTTTCTACCGAATAGGACAAGGAAACTATTTTTTACATGTAATCAATCGTAATTGCACTACATTTTGCCATAAAAAACAAGCGTGACGCAAATTACATGATTACTTCTAGATTATATTTATGAAGTACATAAATTAATGAAGTGGAAACCTGAAATGAATCGTCCATTTTCTGTATACTCACTTTGGCCAGTGGTCTTGAAGCAAGAGAATAGATTGTGGATGATGGGAAGGGTGAACATATTTTTGAAGAGCTTCTTGCGTCCAAAAAACTCCACATTTGGCATCACAGGAGACCGTGGCTTCACAAAAGTCAGCTGCGATATACATCATTGTAAACGAAGTCAGTGCTGCACTCTCCTCCTGCCCGCAAGTAATGTGGTGTAGCAGCACAGCAACCAACACCAAAATCCTCAAGTAAATGCTCATCACCAATGAGCTTTGAATGTAATAATGCATCAATTTATTCTTGTTGTATAACACTTAAGGAGCATTGCAATTAAGACAACAATTCCATATTATTACGTGCACATTAGCATTACAAGAAATTTCTTTTTTCGGAATTGCACAGTGCATCTTAGGATAACGCGGGGAAAAAGTGTATGTGTGAAGAGTGTGCGCCCGCCGGGTGGTGGGGGTGGTTTGGGATACATGACTTGCTCCCGATACATGGCCTGTGTTGCAGAGAGTGGGAGGCATGCTGGATGCCTTCCGAAAACTCACAGATGCAGGTGCCCATTGGCAAAATCTTGCATCTCAGTGTGTGCAATATCACCCCAGTATTACGAAATCCGCTCCATAGTTACAGTGCTATCGTATTACTGCTTCCATTGATTACTACATCCCTAGGATGCAAATTTTAAGATCCAAAGTGTTGTCACTGCAAGCAAGCTCATCGCGAACTTCAGACCTTCCAAGGCTGGTATCACTTCCTGATCAGTTTTCTTTCCAAAAATGCGAAGGGTTGGCGCAGAGGGATCATATTTTTTATTCAAGTAAAAAGAGCTTTAATATTTGGAATAGGTTTCCCAGCTCTCTCCGCTCAGCTTCTCGCACGTTCGCAGTTCCCGTTATTGTATGTTCTTTTTCATTGTCATAGAGTCCATGAGCACAATGGGTTAAATAACAAAAATGTTCTGCGACGAACCGCAGCTTTGTTGCGATTGGTGCTTGGGTTAGATCCACATGCGTTGTGTCATGTCGCAATGGCTGGTTGATCTGATATATAAATATTGTCAACAATGACAGAGCGAATAGATCATATGGTGTCCCTTGTTGCAAACCATGCAAATAACAAATAACTAATTAGCTGTGATTAAATCAGGTTTAGAGGGCAGAAAGTGGTTCAATATACAAGTAAAGTGTATAGTTTCTGATATATTTTTACGAGTTATGCTAAAGAACAGCCCCATACATGGTGGGGTGAATTAATACGCAACATGGGGCAGCATGCTAGACCTAGCCAAACTGCCACAAGTAGGGATTCCCTAGTGCCGGCTGAAATCAAATGACAGGTATTAGATGTGGTACATATTATTTGAATGTCATCTCTTTAAATGTCACCAGCCGCGTGCTACTGTGCGTATATAACCCACAACTATTCGTGCGCATTTGTATTAGAATTGTAGGCACGTGCTCCATGAGTGTGCGAGGGTAATAGCCTCGGGTTATTCCCTTACAATAATTGGTCTATAACGCTCATATGTTGGTTCACACATACTCATAATTTTCCAAATTTTCAGTCTCAGTTTCGATCTCAGAACGTTCAGTTGCGATTTTGTACATTACATTTTATTAACACTTGTCTAAGCTGGAGGTTTCACTGGTGGTCTTGAGAAAATCCGTGTACTTGGCAAGTACTAATTGCTTGCATACAGCGGCCATCCGGTTGCCGAGCGAAAAATTGCCCATTGCTTCGGGAAATATTTCAACCACCCACCTTTGGTCGGGCAGAGATGCGGCCTTCACTGATGTAAGAAAACAAACCACGAAAGTTGCGGACCTCAATTGCGCGACTCAACACTGAGCGCTAGCACCAATACACAAAAACGCGCGCCTGCCCGCTGCCGACGGAAATGGAGCTCTACGCTTAACGCTGGGAGTCAATGGATCATGCCAAGGGAAGGTCGTGGGTGACCAAGGCTTTGCATGTGCACGCCCATTGCCTAAAATCAACCTGGAGACAGTCGCGCACTAATAGTGCACGTGCAAGATAACTTCCAATGGGGTCCCCATCCGCCAGTTCTCGTGTACCAGCCCTCGTGGGCATCATTCTGAGAACCGCTGTGGGGCGCAAATGTCCTGCCAACTGTCGGTATGCCAAAGTGAACATATGAGCACAATGCGTCCAATATGCAACCTGGGACGAGTTGTTGTTCCCCTTCGGCTCTTTGCGCAAGGTATCTATTCACACAGCGTAAATGAGGAACAAACGAGAGTTTCAACCATTGTACATGGCCGCCGAAGGCTCAGAGGCCAAAGCGCCATCGAAGGGCCAATCTTCTATTGCGAAGAAATGCAAAATAAGAGGAATTGGGCGCAAGTTTATTCAGCGCGTTCAGACTATTTGCTGGCAAGTAGGCCGCTTCTGGCCATCCTTAAGCTTCCGCCACGAGCACGTGCGTTAGCGCAGCGGCATGTAGTGTCAACCTCACCACAAATTTTGCCCATTCTTTGCGAGAGGGCTCGCCTAAGAATCGTGTAAATATCGCATCAGTTCTTCCCCATCAGGGAGTGCTGCGCTCTCGATGCGAGATATCAGATACAGTCATTAACCAAGACTGCAACGTGGCTGGTTTTCTTTCGCCACCTGTAATTTCTGCGGTTGGTGGTTTTGGTGGCGGAATTGCCCTGCGCCAAAAACCGCTCACTCCAGACTTGAAAACTCGCACCAAGGCATATATTGCAAAAAAGGGCTCGATGTTGCCACTGCCACTGCGACGCAACGGTAGGTGAGCTACGCAATGACAGACGAGGTGTAAGCGTTGCAGAATTTGGGGCGCCATGCCGATATTGCATATGGCCATCCATGTCGGTCTTTATGTCAGATGCATGCATCTGGCACATGCCATAACAGACATGTAACGAAACCTGTCCCGGCCGTGTGTTCTTCCCCTGTTCTTCCCAAGACCGCCCTTCGCGACCGTTGAAGCCATGGCGCAGTACGTAAGTTTCTTCCCAAGAAACTGCTGTAACCAATGGGTAGATCCGCCCAATGTGCGGCAGCATGGCCGGGCACCTAGAAGGCGACGATGGACAAGGCGGCGCAGCGCGGGCAGTCTGATTCCGCATGTCTTCGGCCCATTTTGCCCTGGTTTGTTTCAGAATCAGAGCAGCGCTTTGCGGGCAGCTATAAGCGCATGTGGTCAGTCTGCGGCCGCGGTGGGTTTCCTTGAGGTAGCGGAATGACCACCAGCCACATATTCTGCTGCGCTGCTCAGGTATGAAACCTGACCTTGATAAGGAAGAGCAGAGGACAGGAATCACGTTCGCGGCTAACACGAGATTTTCGCTTTGCAGCATTACCCCCCCACACACTGAAGGCCGCTGGTGTGCCCACAGCAACATCGGCGGATGCCACTGGCGAAAAGAAGTACATGCAGTGTGGCGCAGCTCGGTGCAGTGCAAATGTAAAATCAAATGGGCGTGGACGACAAAATACTGCCGTGCTTCGAATCGTCTTGCGCCGCGTTCTCCCAAGGCACTCAAATCCTCATTTCCCAAATATAATCAATGTAGAATTACAATTGTCGATCCCTCCAGGTACTTGACAGGCGATCGTCGAAGTCCCTCAATTCCTGCGCGATCTCCCTGTCTCTCTCTTCAATCTCCATAATCCAGTCCTCATCTTCCTCAAGGGAATCAGAGCCAGGCGTTGAGGCGCTCGCCCTCGCTGCGATGCGAAGGAAGCGCATTGTAAGGCGTAAGCGAGTCCAATAAGAAACAGCGCATGTTCACCACCATCAAATGCGAATTGACTCATAGTGAGCAATAAACAAGACATGTGGGTCAATGAATCGAATTTCCGCAACACTGCTTTTGTTTTTTTTTAAGTTCATCCCTATATGTGTGCATTCTCGTATGTTTCTGCCAGCTGCTGCAAGTCTATGTCTGCAGCCGCTGGTCCAAAATTTAGGGGCCAATGGCACTCCTGGCATTGCAAGGCAAGCTACTGTAGCCCCGTTTCTGAGAATTTCAAACACACATCTGTGCAAATTCATGTGCTAATTGTGTTCACATGCATGCGCATTTTTTCATTTCTGCATCAGCAGCAACGCTATTTATTGTTATTGGAACATACAGGTATTAGTTCGCCCAGTGCATTGCAATTGATTTCGTAATTCAACGCATTTCTCAGCTTTAGATAATTGATCTAAGACTGACGCAAATTAGTCAAGTTTTCAATACACTTTTATGTGTTCTCAAAACACACAGAAACTTTAATAATTTGTGTCAGTTGCCGCAAATCTTGGGCGAACTCTAGTTCATTCGCTTCTATGACTGGTAATCGGAAAAGACGTTCACCGCCGCAATTGACAATGTTGATATTCATTTAGTGGACGGAAAACGACTCACAACGACAAGCAATGCTGCACGACGCATTGCATACTGGTGCCACAGCCACACTCAATAGCCAGAGATCATTTACCGCCGAAATGCCGACTCCGATGCCTAGTATCTGTAGAAAAGTGATAGGAAGATGACACCTTATTGACTCCGCATCCGTACATCTACATAGAAGCTGGTCATAGATGTGAAATCCGACGAAGCTGAATTGCTGAATTGCTGCAAAACCCTGACCTTCTATTTTCACCCACATTCAAGATGACGATAGAAAATGATGTAGATGCAGCTTTGGTGTCTGGGATCCAACCCAATATTTAGGTTGTTTACTCGCACTTTACGATCGGTGGTTCAAGTTCGAGCTCTAATGTTTCGGGCCGAAATGGAGGTTTAGAGTCAATTGAAACGTCCCTCGCAAAAATATCTCTGACGCGTATTCCTGGGCAATGACACATCCTCGACATTGCCACTGCATCACCAGTGCATACAAGCTGAGCATTTCTAGGATATGTATATCCGACACTGTGCAATTCTCCGGACGCGCTCTGGCCATATCTCGTTCAAATAGAATGCCCAAGACATGGATATGAATATCTGTACATGGGTGGGGACATGGACAGATAAGGATGTGAGGAGTTCCCACACCCAGTATATAGACCCTTCTTCCTATGCGGTTTTGCGTTTGGAGTTCAGGTTTAGAATTCACGCGAGCTGTCCACAGACGTGCTCACCTCCGCGCTTCATTGTGACTCTTCCTAACTCCATATTCTGCGCCAGCGAAACCTGAAGACAACCATCCAGCCATCAGCACCCTTCTCACAGAATACAAACACTGTGAACTAACATGGCAAGCTACGGACAACGCCTTCTGGGGAAAATTGGGCACATCCTCAGATTTTCTAAATACCAAGAGCAATATCATTTTAGGCACAACAGCAGTATTGGCTTGATGTTTGTTCCTGGGGGGTGGGGGAAAGTGTTGCATGGCGTGCAAGCTTAGCAGCACACAGTGCTACTTGCTTCAGTTGCTCCTAGTCATTTTGTGCTTGAACTACCACATCACTTGGTGTTTACTACTGCTATGCACAAAGTCCAGCACCCGCACAGCCGAAAGGAAATCCCCCTTCTCAGCGCCAGCATCAGCCTTCTCTGCAGCTGCAGCTTCAGTTCCCCCACTAGAGAACGTGAATTTGAGCTCAGCCAGCCTAAACTTCTTTGCCAATTTTTCGAACTAGAATTCGTGCAGAGAATTCTCGGCGAAGCTGCCCCGGGTATGCCACAGGCAATTGAGGACCAGTTCCTGACAAAGGCCTGCGGGCCACGCACAGTAGCCAAGCAGCCCGAACTTTGGGCCGTGGATCAAAAGCGCGTTGCTTAAAGGTTCAAACTCCGAGCAGCAGGAAGACCCCACATTGTCCGAATTCGAGCTGTTTGGATCGTGGCCCCTGCGATCGGTATATGATTGTCCTCTGGCAGTCGTGCACAAAACACAGACAAAAACATTTCACCCGTCATGCATCGGGCCCAATTCGGCTCCCATCGAAGATGCATTGGACCCTATTGGGGTGTATGCTAAGCCTGCGATCAGCGTACGTCTGCGGCGGCGTTCCATGAGCCCAAAGAATGTGGCAACTGTGCTGGGGCGTGGAGCCAAACCGAATGGTTCAATGCAACCAGCCGCTCACCCAAACAATATGCATGTGAATAGCAAAGAAAGAGGAGGCGAATACATGCACATAATGTTATGAGCAATGGTAAAGACGAAGAAACAAATACTGGAGTTTCTTTCTTTCTATCCATATTATCTAATTTTACTCCGCGTGCGGTGCTTTGTACTTTGTCTTTTGATGGCAACAGCAGCGCGTTTCGTTACGCATTGTATGCCACAATGCTGTTATGTGCTTTTCAATATACTCGAAATGCCCGGCACACAAGGCTCTTACATTGAAATACGTATGCTTGCAATGAAAATATGCAATTTTCATACACAACATGTTGTAAACGTTGCGTACTTAATACGCAAATCGGCACACAACATACGTAATAATTCCTCCGTCCAGGATTAATTCTCGTCTATGACTTTGAGGTATTACTGCTTCATCCTTCCGGCATCAGTTTGCAATGGAATTTCACCCAAAGTTGCATTTGTAAGTTTAGAGTATGTGGTCAAATTTCCAATTCGATCCATTAAGCATTGTGGTTTTGGCGTTATTTTGTATGAAGGGTCCTTTTACTTAGTAAACCTCGACATTTGTAGTCAAGAATGACCAAAATTTACCTTCGGCCTAACGCTCAAAGGGGTCGTGTCTCAAGTTTCCTTCTTGAAAACTGGTAGTTGAAGGTTTTGGAACCCAGTCTTTCCCATTTGGAGCTTCTTTTTCGTAATTTCTAGGCCGTCTGCGTAAAGAATTTGCCTTTTGAATAGACGACAACTCATCTTGGACATAGGAAGTGCAATACATCATATGTGCAAATACACGTTTACATGTAAAATGTTCAATCCGCTATGCTTCTCGCCTGCCATAGCCTCACCATTGCAAACCACGCGAGAACGGTGAGCCCAGTTGCAGCCGCGGCAAAGGCCAGCCCTCCCAGTGTCGTCAGCGCCGCCAGTCCGAACATGATGGACACAGGCATGACGAAGATGGCCGCCATGAAAGCCCCCACCACTGAGAGGCTTGTGAGCACCGCGCCAGCCAGAATGAGGAAGGCGAGGACGAAGGGGCCTGTGCGCCAAATGACAAGCTGGATCAGCAGGGCGCTGGGGCGATTCTCTTGAGCCAGCATCAGAGTCGCCCTTCCGCGGAAAGAAGTTTATGGGCATTCCGCTGACGGAAAATCTGCCGTTCACGCAATGTCACTCTGAGTTGTCATTTTGTCTAGTTAATTTGTTAACAGTACTTGTAATCCTTGCAGTTGGCAGTATTCGTAATTCACGTAGTTACAAGCAAATTTGGGCGAAGGAATTCTAGTGTTAATTAACGCTGATATTAGCCAATAGCTCTAATGCAAACCGTGTGTAAACGTCTAGTCTTAAGCGAGTTATCGACACCATTCTCACCAGTGCGGATGGCAAGTAATGATGCTGGCTGAGGTCGCGGTTGACAAGCTGAACGGCACGCGGCCTCCCCTCCGCTATTACTTTTCTCAGTAACTGAGTGTGCTAAACTGTTTAGCACACCCAAAAATTGGCCAGTTTCAATTGTTTACACGGGAAGTTCAGAAAACAGATTTGAAGTCAATAGGCAACTTAAAAGGGAGCTCCAACGGAAACAGAATTCGGCCATTCTCCAAATATTGTTATTTGATCGCCAACCTCTTGCATGTGCGTAGGGAGCAATGGGTCGCACAGTTGACCAACGGAATCGAGGCAGTAGTGCTTCCACCACATGCACTTCACCAGTAATGAGTTGTTTTGTAGAGGAAACACCACACCCACACTGCATTTGCTTGAAAGGAGATATTCAGAGCACAGATGTCCAGTGTTTTCATGGAGATGCCCATTTAACAACCTGCTATCGTCATGCCACAGAGAATTGGTCTTGTTCCATGGGAGTGGTGCAATTGTGGTCAATTGGCCAACACCATGATTGCATGAATTTGTTGCAAGAGCAAGGTTGCACATGAGCTCTCCAAGCTTGCAGGTGCTATTCCAAATCATGAATCCTTCAACGATGGCCCTACCGTACTACTACTTTCAAGTATTCTACTGTCCCAATAGCAGATAGTCTGTGCTGCACCAAGGCACAGGCAATGTGCAGCAAGTAGCAGCCTTCAGCCAATGCATGGCAGACTTGGCTCTGGTCAACGTGAGCTCAAAAGTCTCCGAAAATTGGGCACACCCTGCTCCCCTGCCAGGTTTGGAATGATCTGCACTGTTTCCTGGTGTGGTTGTGGATTCACTCAGGGCTGCATCTTCCAGGCTGCTCTGCATGTTCGAGTCCTTTCAACAGCATGGACATGCAGAATTTATGGAGGCCAGGAGTGTTTCTGGAATAGAGAGCAAGAGTGACATCTCTCTTTGCACTGGCCGTGAGCAGAAGTATGAGCATCAGGATTGCAGTTCTCTCAGTTGAATGGCCCATTGTTGGCAAATGTAGCTGGGACTTGGGGCTATTGGCATAGCCGCAGTGAGCAAAGTTCACTAGCAAAACGTTTCAGCAACGCACACTTGCAGGGTGAACGAGATCTGGACATTTTGACAAGATGCAATAATGCACTGCATTGGTCGGGATGTGTTCTGAGAGGGCCATGGCCTGCAGACCCCAACACAAGATTTTCCTTTCCAAACACACCTAATCGGCCATCAAGGTGCAGGGTTATTTTCTTGTGAAATATCACAGATGATGAAATGAAGCATTACTGTGCTGAGCAGGCATGGTAGCAAAGCACCAGGGGTTGGTTGATTCGAAGGACAGAACTTACAGGGAGTGTCATGCACAGCAGGCAGTGCCGATGCCTGCAACTCTCTCAGGTGCTGCTTTGCTTTCAAGAGTGGCATTTGGCAGGGCTTCTACTTGGGAGGCTGTATCCGCAGGCGGGCAACAGGATGAACAAATGTTGAAATCAGGATGTCTCCAACTTTGCACAATTAGGTATTGCAACTATAAATGTTGTGACATCCAGTGGAGTCAGGAGCAAGGCCTCCCAAACATCCCAACACTCGCCGCGCAGCTGTTAGCATGGAATCCCCAGCTCTTAAATTGGGGATTCAGAGGGACAAATGCTGCCACAACTCAAAATATTAAAACGTGGACGCGACTTGTGGGAACATTGGAGATTTCCTGGCTCGGGCAAGACGTGTCATGCTCCTTTGTGCTCAACATCTGTGCGCCCTGATGAAACACCGCTAGCAGCAAGGGCACATTTTGCTAACAATATCCCGCTTTGTCTTTGGAAGACAAACTCGTACCGTGGAATTCAGCTAAGAATGCCCCAAGAAAAAACCCACCAATGAACAATGCCCCGAGAAGTCCCGCCACCGCCAGCCCCATCGCCGGCCACAGGTACTTGGCGACCTCCGACTTGGACACTCGGAACCGCATCTCCCCCAGTCTGATCGCCACCGTCAGACCCTCGTCAACCACTCCCAGGGGGCCCACGCTCGTGCCCATGCCCCCCATGACCACGCGTCGCTCCCCCCTCGCCACCACGCCAGTGTTCCCCATTTTCTGGTTGAAAAATTCTCCGCAATGATCGCCTCCGGGTCGCAGGGAGGCAAGGGAGGATTTGGCGGATGGGATGGGAGATGAGGGGCGTGGGAAGGCGGAGGGGATGCGGAGTCGGAGGTTGGCGGAGATTCTGAAAAGGGGGAAGCGTCTTGAGAATTGGGCACCCTGGGCGGCCGACCCTGGGAGGCGGCAGCCGCACGGGCGGGCCATGCCTGGAAGCAGGAACCGGGTGGTGTGCGCCTTGGGGGGGGGGGGGGGGGGGGGCTGTTCCTGGGCCCTCTGGACCAGGGCCTGGTCTTGTAACGTGCAAATGTTTGATTGCAATGCCATGACGGGCGATTGCAATTGTTGCAATTGCAACGCACGTGTTGCTGGGAAACAAGTACGTTTGCAGGGTGCATGTCCATGTCCATGTACGAAAGTTTTTTGTCGAAATCCTTACACTTGTTTGCATATACGCGGTTCCAAAGTATCGTACCTTGGGCATCGTATAACAGAATTTTGGATTTCGAATTTGTCACTGTCACGTGCCACTGTGCGGTATACCACATAGCGAACCTCACCCAACGCGCGAACCGGCGCAGAAACCCAGCATTACTGTTAAACATTAAGCCCTTCCGCATAGTAACGTAGCGCTTGGCCTTTTTTTGCGGAGGCTGTAACGCAAATCTTGGCCTTTCTGTGCGGATCAACGTAAAAAGTATCAAAATAACGCTCTGGAAAGCAAAATGCGGAGCAAAAAGCGTAACGGTGAAATCTTCTGATGCGCGAGGGCTGAATGTTTTACAGGACTGCTGAGTCGTAGTACCGCTGACTGACGTTACGCGACGGCCGTAAACCTTCCGTAAGTGTACTTTGTCATAACGTAATTGCACCCCAAGTGCCGCACACTCACCGCGGATATGCCCTCCACGTCACCCCCGCTTTGCCCCAGGCTTCCAAAGGCCGCACCCTCTTCGGAGCCCCACCCGACTCGGACCCCCCACCCCACCCCCCTTCCTCCTGTAAGGCGCAAAACAGCCCTTGGTCGCGCTCCGTTGGCGATCATGGCCAAATCCCGCGACGATGATTTCGACCCCAGCCGCTTCTCCGCGGCGCGCCTGTGCTCGCACGCGCTTCAGAAGGGGTTCCAGGCGGGGGCGGTCGTGGGCGCGGCAGCCGTGCTGCCGACACTGGCCTTCTTGGCGTACCGGAAGACGGGCTCGCCGGCGATGGAGCCCGGGGTGGTGATGGAGGCGCTGGGCAAGAGCGGCTTGATGGGGACGGGCCTCTCAGGTGCGTGGCGCGATCGTGACACCTCAGCAGTTGTTGTCAAAGTCTCGACTGGCTTTGCGTGGCGGTTCGGCAGCGAGTAGAGTGATGCGTCCGTCTCGTGGTGACCAGCACCTTCTGTTGTCGCACTGGTGATGCGTCCTTGTCCTGGGGGTAAGCCTTTCAGATATGCACACTGAACACCGCGAATGCCTTCGTCAGCTGGCAGTGAATATACCGCCAGACTGGAAAGGAAACCATTGGCTGGAAATTGCACACCCGGAATGGGCAAGTGTGGGGCCTCTTGAAGCCAAACAACGGATCGTGCTTCTTTTCGTTCCCATCATAGTATTGTGGGTTGGTGGGTGTACAGACTGCCTTTTTGACACACGAGGACAGATGCCCATTTCTCCCCCTCTTGGTCTACGTATTCTAAGGCTCATATCCACTCTGGAAAGATGCTGAAGAAATATCTTGGTTCAACATGGAGCAGCTAGGTAGTGGACGGATGGCTTTGCTGTTGTCCATCTGATGAAATGGCCAACCACCACAAATTGGCACCTTGTCACCATCACGTGTGTGTGGTTCTCCTGTGCGGTGCCACTCTACTATCTCGTCTTCCATGTGGGCAAGCAACTCCAAAGAAACAGCAATGCAACAGGGAAGCATTTGAGTAGGTGTTTTCTTGTTATTACGTGCAAGACTCATACCCCTCTGGTTTGTCTAGTGCAAGCAAATGTAACACTACAATATGTCAATGCATGCTTGTGCATGGTGCCCGACGTCATGAAACAAGGGAAGCTGCGGTGACTACCACACGTGCCTCTATGGATGCCACAAGCCTTGCCGAATCCATGGCATGAATCCATAGCATGAATCGATGGCATCCAGGGCAGGAATCACAAGGATTCCACTCCAGAAGGAATGCTGCGTTCCATCTTTGGTGATGTCCCTGAATGTGTGTATATGTGCTTACTGCATGAATAATGGCATGTTGAAATAGATTTGGCAATGGCTGCGTCATGCAATGTTTCTAAGACGATGAACATGTTACGTGTCAGGCATCTTGGTCAGTGGAAAAATGATCGGCATGGATCGAGAGGGCCTGGAGGACCGAGTGTACCGGCTTCATTACAATGAGGGCCAGAAACGTGTGGACCGCTTCTGCCAGGCGGGTGGGCTGTTGGGCGCCATTGCAGCCGCCTTCCTCGTCAACAAGAGTCCAATGGTCGTTGTGGGGGGAGCGGCCGCAGGGGCATTTCTGGGGGTGGTCGCCCACGGCACCACCGCTGCCAAGGATTCCACTCCTAACAAAATGATGCACGAGGTCACAAACTGAATCGCTACTATCCATTGCGTACTAAGAGGATTTTGAGGCGTTGACAGTATTGCTCTTTTGTTCTCTGCGGTGAGATTTCTGGAAGCTGTCCAGTGAATAGCTGCATTCTAATGATTAATGGGTGCTGTAGCCTTTCTTGTTGACACTGCATATAGTGGGAATCTCGATTGGCTGATTGAGACAAGGATGCACAGGGCATGCCAGCTCAAGGGGCCGAGAAGCGATAAGCTATTGGGCAGTTGGCCTGCTAGCTGTGGTTTTGTACTGCACTCGTGCGTTGCCCACATGACCATTGAATGGGGTACTGCGGTTCTGGTTTTTGTTGTGCGGTTGCAATGAATGCGGGAGACTGAAGTGTGGGAGATTGCTGAAACTGGGGTGCAATCTGTGGGGAATGGTGGTGATGGCCGCCAAGATGCGTAAATGAGAACAGGAACACTTGAATGGTTAATCACCGATCCTCTCAACATCCTCTCAACGTCGCCGAGATAATGGAATCTGAAATCTGCCCACTGCAGATAAATGGCGCCAGAAAAATCAGAGAACAGGCAGCGTCCAAGACGCTGATTTTGAAAAATGCAATTTCCGGCATGCACAACTTCCAGGTACACCATGTTTCATGCTGCTGGAACATCTTCACCTTGATTGCGCTGCAAAGTCTGTGGTGCACATGATGGACTTTTTGCTGAAATCACCTCTTTACACTCACAGCAAGTCGAGTGTCTAGACACTCAATATTAGCCAAATACACATATATAATTAAGTATCTTATTAATGAGTTTCTGCCAAGGACGACGTTAGGTGGGTGCCAACCCCCGCTTACTCCCTCGGTCAGTGAACCACCGTGTGGCCAAACCTGACTTCACAGGCTTCCCTGTCTGGTTTGACGTCCGCGAGACGGCCAGACCACCGCTGCCGCCCTTGGACCAACTCTGGCTATTTCCAGGAGTACATGAGCTGGGCTCCTTGGGTCGCATGGCAATTCGACTACACAACAGCCTTTGCTGATCTGGTCGCCCATCTAAGTCTTCCTCCTTCGATCCACAACCTGTTTTTGCCCTACATCTACACCTCAGTTGCCATCATTGAGCAGCAAGTCGATCAATTATGACTCCACCAAGTGCACGCCAAGCATTGTGGCACTAGCTTGGAAGGATTCTGGCGGGCGTTGCAAGTGCAGATCTGCCACAGCAAGCTTGAAGGCGGCTTCACTACTGAAATGATCAATGGGACGCTTGGCACCATCCACAAAGAGCTTTTGATGCAAAAGTTCAAGCCCGAGACAAAGGCGGCCGCGGCCAGCCACACGGGGGAGTCCCGGGGCGGCGGCAATTCCACCCCCAATTCGAGTGGCCTGCCATGGAAGAAGGGCAAGCGGTGGGGACAACCTTAAGTGGTGTGTCCACCTCCAGACGCGTAGGGGAGTTCCCCTATAACCGCACTCATAGATGGCTTTCGGCATGGCTGAGGACTGGAGCGCCATTGCACGTCGTCGCACATCATCAGCCTCGGACTGAACGCTGGAACCACATGAAGCCCAGCTCGTTTGGCGTCACGTAGCTCCGGTGTACCTCGAGCGGCTGGTCGCCCAAGAGAAGTGCCCTCCTCCTCCTCAGCATGTACACCACAAGTCGTTGTAAGATCTGCTGCCAAGCAGGCATGAGCCTCGCTAGCCGTTGGATCCATTCAGGTGTACCATTGCCATGGGGGCCTCAAGGCCCTTCCCCACTATTCGATCTTGGCGAGTAACCGCTCTGTTCGGTCGAGGAGCAAGCGGGTTGGGAGGCCCTCAAAGCAGACTACTTGAGTATGGGGGCGATCGTCAAGGTAGATCCTGGTCCCAATTCTCGAATTTCCCATGCCTTTCTAATTGAAAATGGGCAAGAGAATGGGGTGATGTAATACCGACTTTGTGTTGATTTTTGCCGGATTAATCATCATCTCCACAAGATGAGATTGCATTAAGAGAAACTCTAGGATTTTGGTCACTTATTGAAAAGAAACGATTTTCTGGTAGGCTTTGATATCAAGGATGCATACCATCATTTATGGATGCATATTGTTGATGAATGTTTTGGGCAATTCTGTATGGGGGGGCGAAATTTTTGCCTACTGAGCGCTGCCCTTTGGGCTTCTTTGTCACCATACTTTTTCACATATTTTATCTTGGTGATCACCCGATTCCCTTGGTCCCTGGATCTTTTGCCAAAACAATGCGAGGGTCTTGTTTCGGGTGTCTTGTGGAGAGTAATTATATTCAAAGGTATTACTTGTGCTATACAATGGATGACCCCGCCGTTCTGTTAGCCTATCTTTATGATTTTTGGCTGTGATGAGTGAACCAGAAAAATTACATGAATGGTCACATTTGGTTTGGGAGAATTTTCCAAGCTTTGGGGATTCGTTTTAGGGATAGGAAATGTTAATGGGACTCTGTCCAAGTCAAGAAGTATTTGGGAGACGATACCCATGCCTATCGTTTTTGTGTACCACTTGACAAGTCGGCATTAATTGCTTAACGGGCTAGAATCCTCCGGGAAAGGCGATGGGTGGTGGCCTATGATCTGACCCGTTTTTGTGGGCAGGCCATCTTGCTTTACTTGGCCTTTCCACTAGCTTGCTTTTCTCTTTAGAATCTTTATGCAGTTCTCTGCACCAAACGATCTTGGAGGGACTGACTTCGATTGACACTTTAGGCATATTTGGATCTCGAGGCTTGGGTCAATATTCACAGCTATGAGGGGTGCCCCCTCAATCCTGATGTAGTGCCTATTATGCGCACCCTCGCTATGGATGCTTCCTTGAGGAAGTGGGGGCCTACTTTTACTCCCCCCCATCTAATCGGCCATGACTGGGGATCGTGTGACCCATCATTGATGCACAACTCCCTTCCGTTCAAAATGTCCCATTGCGCCACGCTACAAACCTATTAGGTAGCATATTTGCACAACGTCGATCCCACTATCGTGGAATATTGTTTCAATGTCATGTTATTAATTTCGCTGTATTTGGGCTGGTGCTGGCGTCACCCGCCACCATAATTATTATATAGATCTCGGCATTTTTGGTGCCTAAGCTTGCAGTTTCGCGGCAGAACCACAAGTGACGGTGTTGAAGGTGGCAACGTGAGACATAACACTTCCATCGCATTTGTGATTGTCTGCCGCTAAAGTTTCCTACAGGTGCGGTTATGTTACAACTCTTTGACATAAAATGGCTGAAGTATCATACCTGACGAACGAAGGCGGTAGTACATTGTAATGTTGGCAGCCAAGTCACTGGCGGCTCTGGCAGCCTACTTGCGGTTCCGCCATGGCGGAACCGCATCAACTGGCTAAACGTTGGTTACGGCCTGGTGCCCGCCACTGGATGTGAACCTGCCCCCGCGACTGCTCCCCAAGGCTTGGTGTCGGCCAAGCGAGAACTTGTATGCATCACAAAGTGGGAAGAGGAGATAAAACACACACGGCAACTTTAGCCCAAGGATATTACAAGTTTGGTACCACCCAAGAAGCATTCGTATACAACAATTTGTACAACATCTTTGAAAGATGGTTAATCCCCGCCAGGATCTGTGGAATGAAGGCGGGGAAGCTCCCGCCTTAGACACTCCCGCCAACATGGCCATAAGTGGCCATCTCCTCCCACCCACTGCTCATTCACCACTGCCGTCCAAGGGATGACCTCCTTTTGGCCCGTAAGGAACCACGGGTTGTTTAGTTGGACTTCTTCACTGATGAAGGAAGGGTTGTCAGGGTCGCAGTTCTCCACAACGCCTTCACAAGCGTAATACTACACTTCAAAGTGGTGCACGTCATATCCGTTTTCTTCACTGGGGTCGATTACCCTAGTGACTCTGGCGATGTCAAACACACGGGCCCAGGCATCGGCGTCTTCGTCTGCCATCCGAATGGCGACAGTCACCCCGGGGGCAACGTCGTGTTCCGGTCGGAACGGTCTCACGTCGGCAGGTCTTGGGGCCCTGTGTGAGTGACCAAAGAATATTGCACGCTCCCCTGGGATGGGGCCCACGTCCCTGTACAATGGGCGGGTAGAACTAGTCAGTAACCGGATGCCACATTGGCAATCAAACCACAACACTGATATCAAAGGTTGGATGTCACCAAAGGGGCAAATGGGAAGAAACATACAACATGCAGTAAAGACCAAGACCACGCAATGACAGCCCCCGGGGCAGAGATGCCATGCAGGCAGTGTGCTGAAGGTCATTTATACAAAGGCAGGGTGTGTGTGCACGACAGATGAGCTGACGGGCCCAATGATTTTTTTAAGGATATGAAACAATGTGGCAGAGGTGGTATGTTGTGCACCAAAACCATCACACCTTTCCACTACGGGCCCAAGCTCAGTGGTGGGCCCCTGGCTAGGCACGGGCAGAAGGTCGTCCTCGTCCCCGCGGCCACACTCTGCCACCCTGAGGGATCCTCCCACTCGGTCGTCGACGTCCCCTTCCGGAAAGGTGGACCTGTGGTCCTCAATAAAGGTTTCCCACCACCGTATGGCGTGGACGTAACGCGCCCTTAGGACGGTGGCAGGGCCCTCCTCGCCGGACAAACCAGCTGTGGAGGCAAGTAGGCTTCTGAGCTTGCCGACGAACTTCAGTGCCCTCTCTCGTATCCCAGCGAATTGTTGGAGTGGCGTCCTTGGCTCCAGAGATAGGCTATCGAAGGAGGGTATCACAGCATCCTCAAGGAACACTGGCCACCCGCCGCCCTCTGGCCGCCCCACCCAGGCCTGACCGGGCAAGTCGTGTTCTCTACCGTACACCACAAGGCGGCCACCCTCCATCCGGAAGAGGAATGCGTGGTAGCACCTATCATTGCAGTCCGTGATGTCACACTTAGGACGGCAAGAAATTGCTCGGTTCGGAGTTTAGAGGTCCACACCGAAATCTGGCTGAGGTGCAGCTGGCGCAGCTATGGCACAAAAGGGAGCAAACCCTCCCAGCAAAAATATATTCATGTTCAGGTACACTTCCC